TTCTTTACTAAGGATCCTCATTTTTATTAAAACATCCTTAAAAAAAAAAAGTTTGAAACAAGGCAAGGGTAAGGAATGAAAAAGTTTACTGTACTCAGTTCTAACATTGAGATAGGAGAGTTGAAGGCCAAACAACAAAGGCTTAAGCTTTTTGGTTCCCAAAGTTTTATCTTCCAGAACTTAATTTTAGTGTGTACATCTGGAAGATAGTGCAATGCGGGAGTGTGAATTCTTGGTTTGGACAGGAACATGTTATCACAACATGTTTTTAGCACTGTCTAATTTTGCTGTATTAACTTTACAGGAATACTTTACAACTTTACAGTAATAGTCAATTGCTTTTATTAGAACAACCAAATGTAAAATCAATTTTTACTTTATCAAATGCATCCAAATGCAAAAATGGTAGCAAATACAGGAGTGGCCAAAACAAAACAAAGAGATCCAGTAGGAGCCATCTTTGGGGTCCCTGACTTCCCCCTCATACCCGGACTTTGTTGCATGGTATGAGATGTTTGAGCCGCACCATTTTTCCATCGCAGTTGTAATCCCTGTGGGCTTCCCATCACCAAATCACCCATGTCCCATCACCACAGTCCAGTGCATTTCCCTCCCCCCACTGTTTTTGATCCCATTCTCCACTCCACCCCCATAAATTATCTCTGGTATATAGCTGTTCATTATTATCATTATTTTCTCGCCTTGTCCTTTATGTTCCTGCTGTGAGTGAAACCATCCAGCATTTTTCCTTTTCTTTCTGTCTTATTTCACTAAGCATGATCTTTTCCAGCTCCATCCATGTTGCTGCAAAAGGCATGGATTTGTTTTTTTTTTTGGTTCCTGAGTAATATTCCAATGTGTATATATACCACATCTTTTTAATCCAGTCATCCACTTTTGGGCATTTGGGCTCTTTCCATGTATTTCCAATTGTAAATAAAGTAGCAATAAACATGGGGGTGCACTTTTTGAATCAGTGTTTTTGTGTCTTTGGGTAGATACCTAGGAGAGGGATTACTGGGTTGTAGGGAAGCTCCATGTTTAGCAGTTTGAGGAACCTCCAAATAGTTTTCCATAGTTGTTGTACTAGTTTGCATTCCCACCAGCAGTGCAGGAGAGTTCCTTTTTCTGCACATTCTCACCAACATATGTTGCTAGTTGTTTTAAGATGTGCAATTCTCGCTGGTGTGAGGTGGTATCTCATTTTGGTTTTAATTTGCATCTCCCTATGACAGTGATGTTGAACCTTTTTTCATATGCTTGTTGGCCATCTGCATTTCCTCTTTTGAAGTGTCTTTTCTGCTCTTCTGCCCATTTTCTGATGGAGTTGTTTATGTTATTTTTGCTGAGTTTCATCATTTCTATGTATATCTTTATGATCAATCCTTTATCGCTAGTTTTGTGTGAGAAAATTTTTTCCCAATCAGTGGGATGTCTGTTTGTTTTTTGTAATGTCTCTTTTGCTGTATAGAAGCTCTTTTAACTTGATGTAGTCCCATCCATTTATCTTTGCCTTCACTATCGTGGCATTGGGTGCTGTATCTTTAAAGATGTCGCTGAAGTGTATGTCTTGTAGTGTTTGGCCCATCTTTGCTTCCAGGTATTTTATGGTTTCTATTCTTATGTCTAGGTCTTTAATCCATTTTGAGTTGATTTTGTGTATGGTGCGAGGTAGTGGTCTAGTTTCATTTTTTTGCATGTAGCTTCCCAGTTTTCCCAGCACCATTTGCTGAACAAATTTTCTTTGTTCCATTGCATCTTCTTTGCTCCTTTGTCAAAGATTAGCTGCCCATAAACCGGTGGGTTTATATCTGGATTTTCTATTCGAATCCATTGGTCTGTGTGTCCAGTACAGTGCAGTTTTGATTATTATGGCTTTGTAGTATAGCTTGAAGTTTGGGATTGTGATGTCTCCATTCTGTTTTTTCTTAATCATGAAAGTTTTGGCTATTCGAGGTCTTTATTTGTTCCACATGAATCTCATCAATATTTGTTCTATTTATTTGAAGAATGTCATTGAGACTTTTATTGGGATGGCGTTAAATCTGTCTATCACTTTTGGTAGGATGGCATTTTGATGATGTTAATTCTCCCTATCCATGAGTATGGGATGTCTTTCCATTTCATGGTGTCTTCTTGTAATTCTTTTAACAGTGTTTTGTAATTTTCTTTGTATAGGTCTTTTACCTCTTTTGTTAGGTTGATTCCCACACATTTGGTTCTTTTTGTTTTAATTGAAAAGGGGATTTTAAAAAAAATTTCTGCTTCTTCTGATTGGTTGTTTGTGTATAGGAAGGTCTCTGACTTTTGTGTGTTGATTTTATATCCTACTACTTTGCTAAACTGGTTGATGATTTTGATTAGTTTCTCTGTGGAGTTTTTAGGGTTTCCCATGTAAATTAATATATTGTCTGCAAATAAGGACAGTTTTACTTCTTCTTTCCCTATTTGGATTACTTGTATGTCTTTTTCCTGTCTTATTGCTCTGGGTAGAACTTACAATGAATTACATAGTTTTTTAAGTGCACTAATCAAGGGGATCAGAACTCCACCTTCTAAAAAGAAACCAGTATTTTTTGGGTAATTTAATAAGAACAGAGGTCTCAAATGCTGCTTCTGGAATGCTGGAAGAGCACATCCAAGAGTATAAAATGTTCTTGCTGCTTTTGAAATCAATGCCCTGACATAGGCATTGTAGTAGTAACAACCAGGCACAGAGTGGGTATGGTAGCCAGGTTGCCAGGAAGCTCCCAGCCCCAGCAAATGTCTCGACTTTTTGGTCTTTCTCTAACAGTCTCTCTAGCCTCCTGCCACACAGCCTGAGTGCAACCACCCTGAATATCCTGGGCTCCTAGGCACAAGTGTGCCTACTTGCACAATCCCACATTACATGCCAGGTGTCCACTGTGACTCTTGCATGCCCAAGCGGTGCTCCAACGCCTCCTCTATTCAAGGCTGAGGGTGACAGTCATAGAGGCCAAGGGAGGGAGGGAGCCTGAGCATCATTTACCCCACAGGCATATTGTTTGAAACTTGGGTATCTCATCAAGTTGTAACAGGGTGGTCCCCAGGAAAAGGGGAGGTTCCAGGTTCCCTACCCCACCCAAGGGAGGGGAGAAGAGGAATCTGAAGAGGAGACTGAAGAGGAAGGAAGCAGAATGGAGAGCCAGAAAATGACTTGAGGAAAGCACAGGGAGCAGAGAGACATATGAAGAAACTGTGCTTGCTTCTTCTTGGTGCTGGACTGGGTGACACAGATGTGGGTGAGAGACCCTTGTGGAGGAGGTTAACTATGGCAGCATTTATCTTGATTTTGATTTTTCTTTTTTCCTCTCAGACTTGTCTGGCCATTTCTGTCCCTGCGGGATAGTGCTTTAGGCTTGTGGAGGTTTTCAGGCCTTGCTTTAGACCAATCCCTTTTGGGTAGACTTTTACCCACGATAGAAGGGCAAACTTTGGGTGTTTGATTTAGAAAACATATTGTCTTTTCTATATTGCACACTAATTGGATTAAGTGTCCTTTCCATTAAAGTTTATATATGTTTTGTCTTGATGCGGCTAATGGCAGAACCTGTTTAGAGCAGGCAGGTTTGGTGGGTTCAGCCATGTCTCTCTGTCCCTACCCTGTAACAAAGTCACATGATGGTGACTTCAGACTTCCATTCCTCTAATGTCTTTGCAGTTGGGACTAGCAACCCATTCACTTTGCTCCCTTCAATCTGTGTCCCACTCACATGCAGCAAGTGTTCCTTTTCAAACAGTTCCAGTGGCTCTTGGTGAAGCCCTTTACTGGCCTTGGGTGCACTTGGAGTTAATACCCTTACCCGGAAAGAGACCCTTTCAAGATAGTCCTTGCTTACTTTTGGGACCCAATCTGGATCACCGTGTGCTCCTTTCCTTTGAGGGTTTTTCCAGTTTTTTTTAAACAGGTCAAAACTTGTCCAGAACTTGCTTTTGCTGGCATCTGCCCTTAATATGCTCCTGGGGCGCTGTCCAACACAGCCTTATCGTAAATTTACTATCTATCTCCACCAGGCCCAAAGTGGATCAGGCCGGGGCGGTCTGACAGGTCATGGACATCATCTCAGCTTCTAGCAGAGCTGTTGTAAATCATGAACGTCAGACATATATATGCACAGTGGGTGGCCCTGGGAGGCACCTCCAACTCAGACCTCCACTTGGGAAATGCACATAATGGTGCCTACTTAGTCTGAGCAGAACTAAACGGGAACCCCGTTCGGTAGAACAGAGCAGGGAGTGCCCACGAGGTGCAACTCAAGGCAGGATCCCGCGACCCTCTCTCGTGAGAGCACCCTGTGGCGTTCAGGGTCCGCAGACCCAGGGGAGGGGAGACAGGGTGGAAGTCGCTGGGTGCTAGTGTTAGGGCAAAAACGGGTTGTGGGGTTGAGGCACTGAGATCGCGCGTGGGCCGGGCCCCAAGCCCAGCGGCCTCAGGTAAGAGTAAGTGGAGCCACACAAGCCTTGGCCGAGCTCCAGGTGGTCGGTAGCCCGCAGCCCCCAGGAGAGGCCAGGGTGCTCACTGGCTGGCTCTTGGTAGAAAGGGGGTTACAGGCGGGGCGAGGGTGGGGATCGCCTATCGCTCCAGGTCGGCCAGGAGAGCAGACAATAGTGGAAGGGATAGGAATCCGGCAACTTCACAACAACAGGGAGCCAGGGAGCACCAGACAGTCCCTATTGGAAACGGCCCAGCGCCATTCCCCTCCCCCACCTCGGCGGGTAAAATGAGAGAACGGTTTGAAGGAAGACGCATGCGCAGGAAACTAAATTATAAACCGCTGAGGCTCAAAGTTCAATCACCGCGGGCAGGCGCAGGCGCAAAAGAGCCCGGGAGGGTGGTTTATGGGGGAGGAGGGGACATTGAGCCCCAAACGCATGCGTATAATAACTTGCTGGGTGGAGGTGGGCAGGTTTATGAAATTACGCATGCGCCCAAGCTCTCTGTGACGCAAGAGGGCGGTGCGGGTGCCGGGCTGCGCGTGCGCAGAGCTTGTTCAAAGGGCCTTATTTAGGTTGCGCAGGCGCCTGCTGTTCATTTCTTCTCAGCCACGCTGAAGTCTTGTGTGTAGGTGAGTGTTTGTTGTTCCCCGTTTTCCGCCCAACGACCCCCTTGGGTGCTAATTTTTCGAGGATTGCTTGCCCCCGAGCCGCCGGAGAGTCTCGGGAGGTCTTGGCAAGGTGGGGACAGGCGATGGGAGCCAGGCGGTGTTCGTGGAGTCGAGGCGGGGCGCCGAGGCCTGCAGGCCGCGCCGACTCTATTGTGTGAGATGTTGGAGGAGGCGGAGCGGAAGCGGCCGCCGCCATTTCCTTGTCTCCATGCTGGCGCTAGGCTGTGTTGCCCCTGGTTTGGGCCACCGGTGGGGGGTGCCCTGAGCGGCTTCTGGGGCTTCATTCACTGGACACTGGGCGTTGGGTGTTGACGAATTACCTGGGGTTGAGGCATTCGCCCAATTTTGGTTTTTACTGAGGCGCCGCAGGGCGCCGCGAGGTTGGAGCTGTAGTGTACAAGAACGTTTCTCGGGATCTGAGCCCCATTCCCGCCTTGCAGTTTGTTTCGACGCCAGGACCGACTAGGTGACGATGATGTTGGGCACCGAAGGCGGAGAGGGATTCGTGGTGAAGGTCCGGGGCTTGCCTTGGTCTTGCTCGGCAGACGAAGTGCAGCGCTTTTTTTCTGGTGAGTTTGAAGCGGAGGCGGGAGCTGGAGTTTGCGGCCGGGGCTGCGGTGCGGGCTTGCGGGCAGCGAGGCCGCCGGGGCGGGGCTCGCTGGGGCGCCCCCTTGTGGGGCGCGGGCGGCATCATCCCTGCAAGGCTGCTCGCGCCGCTGGCCGCTGTTACGCAATGGAAATTGCGATGCGAAAGTCCCGCCCGCCCCCTGGCCTACTCAGGGGGAGGCAGTGCGGTCTCTCTGGCGGATACTTTGTTTCTACCTACCTTTTAGCGCTAACCCTTTATAGATTTTTTTTTTTTGAAAGGGTAAGCGGGGATGTTTGGGACTTTTCCCATCAATCTTGAGAAACTGCTGAGTAGCTGGGCAAATAACAGCAATACTTGCAAACTTAAAAGTGTAAACTTCCAATTTGATGTTTCCTTGAGAAAGGGACATTCTGCCTCGTGAAAGTTAAAATGTTACTTCTTAATTTCAGACAATTTTCCTAATCAAGATTTGGTAATTGAAGAGTTCTTGCTCATCTAATTCTTGATCTGGCTCACTTTACAGTTGAGGACACTGAAACCCAGGGAAGTTTTTTTTTTTTTTTTGCCTATGTAGCTTTTTCCAGTACCGTGTGTAGGTCTCCTGAGTAATTTCTGCCAAAATATCCTTGTTTTCATCATTAGTGTAAGATTAGATTGGAAGATACACTTAGGAGGAATGTACAGATTGTGGCTATGGTACTGACATACTGTCTGAACTGAGTGTTGGTAAAGGGAAACGACCTGTAAACAAGACTCATACACTCAGCCACTTTGCAGTGGGCAAGACTGAGTTTGGCTTCAGCTGTGCAACTTGGAGCATTTAGCTTGGTAACATTGATCCCCTTCCAGGTGAGTAATAGTCCTGCGATTTAGATTTGAAGGAGAAATTGTAATGTTGGGGCTAGACCCAAACTTTGTAACTAAATACCTTTCCGAAGTTGTAAAGTCAGTGTCCAGATTTAGCAATTTGACGAGAAACTTAACAGGCATTTGGGTAGTATGGACTTGGACATAACATAATTAACACTACTTTGAAGGATTTTCTTGATGGATTGGAAATAATCTTAAGTAGTTCAGTGTGGTTGCTTTTGAGGATAACTGGTTAACTGCTGGGAAAAACAAGTATCATACCTAGTGTTGGTTTAACACTATGGTCATTCTAGGCTTTGGAAAAGCTCCACTCTGTAGTGGGGCATGAATAGGCATTTCTTCTGTGTCACCCAGAGGTGGTTTTACATTTTAAATTCAGTATTAAACGATTGTTCTCTTTCCAGACTGCAAAATTCAAAATGGGGCTCAAGGTATTCGTTTCATCTACACCAGAGAAGGCAGACCGAGTGGCGAGGCTTTTGTTGAACTTGAATCAGAAGATGAAGTCAAATTGGCCCTGAAAAAAGACAGAGAGACTATGGGACACAGATATGTTGAAGGTTTGATTTACGTTGCCCTAGTAACAGTAAATAAAACATTAAACATATAGATCTTACCCCTTCTGAATTTTAGGTATTTGACCGCATGGAAAGGGTCATCTAAGGGAGTTTATGGCAGCTCTTCCTAGATTATCTAAAGACCCAGGATGTCTGAACTTGACTCTCACTTTCCAAAATTGACTAATTCTAAGCACCTCTTACAGTATTCAAGTCAAACAACGTTGAAATGGATTGGGTGTTGAAGCATACTGGTCCAAATAGTCCTGACACGGCCAATGATGGCTTTGTACGGCTTAGAGGACTCCCCTTTGGATGTAGCAAGGAAGAAATTGTTCAGTTCTTTTCAGGTATGTAGTCGTGTTTGTTGCTGAGCAGTGAGTTCTGGTTAGCTAATGTCAATGTTTAATAGGCATTAAAATTGAGTAGCTTAGATAATTTCAACAGTTTTGTGAGTATTTACAGATGAATTGTTTTCTTCTTCCTGGAGACCTTCAAATAATTTAAGCCCATCTTAAAGGTGGAAATTAAGTTCTTCCAAAATGCTAACTTTGCCTATATTTAGTATTGTAGTTCAGTTTTAGATCTTTGAGGATTGTCCTCAACAACTTAACTACTTGCCCCACAGTGCTGTCAGAAAAGTACTTCCAAGTTAAAGGTAAGACCCCTTTAGATCAGTATGAGTTAGGGTGTTGTAATTTATGGCAAGTGTCTTGTGTTTGAAGAGACACCAGAAATGTCTTAGGATCTTACTTATTATTGTGCATAAAATTATGCAAGGAAGTAGTTTAGTGAGGGAATTATATACTGAAAGACAGTATTGATATAGCTGGAATATTTTATTCTCAGTATCTGAGATACAGAAAATGTTTTGAAATTGTTTTGGGCCTAAAGTATTTGAATGTTTTTATGCTGAAGAGCTGATTGGTAAAATTGCATGTTTTTAGCATAATATTACATTTTGTATTTTACATACTATTAATATTTGTGATAACCTGGTAAGAGCAAACAAGAAATCCTTTCATGGCTTAGAGTATAGTATGTATTGATTAACTAGTAAGATATGTATCAGGTCCTAATATTTTGTAAGAATTTTTGAGATCAAGTTTTGTTTTGATTGTTTAAATTGGTGAGAATTGAATGCTATCTGTCAACGTTAAATATGAACATAATTTCATATCTTCTAGGAAAGTGCTTTAAGCCCTTTTTGTAAGCTTGGGAAATGTATCCACGGAAAGGATTTTTCATAGACGGAATTTCCAGAAGTGAATCAAACTACTGTTAGAGCATAAGAGTGCATGATTTTGTGTTGTGTAGAACAGTTTGTTGAAAGTTTAGATTGTATGTTTGTCAATTATATCACTTAAGCAATGTTTAAATTTGTATATAATGTTTAAATGTGTAAACTTAATTTTAATTTGAAGTTCCACTAACTTAAACATTTGAAATATAAGATGAGGTAAAAGGTGTTTTGATTTTTAGTAAACTTGTTATATTTAATGCTTGAAACGTTAAAATTTTTTTGTGTAATTCTCAAATTAATTTGCATAGATAAGTGTTCATATTTGTTGAATTCTTAATGCATCCTGTGTTCAGGTTTTTCCTTATATACTGTGCCATTGGGTGTGTTAAGAATTGAGTAGTATTTTGTTGATAATGGAACTTCTTATTTCTACAATGCATATTTAAAGAGTACTTGTTGAAAGCATACCGTTCACCTAAAGTTAAAGTTCTGGTTTATTTAAAGCTTTAAGAAGAATCATTTCTGGGCTTGTGATGTTAATATTGCCCCCCTACTGGGGTTATTTGTCCTTGGGTTGAAGGGTTGGAAATCGTGCCAAATGGGATAACATTGCCGGTGGACTTCCAGGGGAGGAGTACGGGGGAGGCCTTCGTGCAGTTTGCTTCACAGGAAATAGCTGAAAAGGCTCTAAAGAAACACAAGGAAAGAATAGGGCACAGGTGGGGATGGATGGTTGGTTGGATTTGTCACTTTTCTTATGGTAAAAAATTAAATCCATATTCTCTCTGCTTAAAGGGAATTTGTCTTATTTTTTAGTCTCAATTGTTGCTTTGTCAGTTTTAAAGCTTTTTCCTACTCAGTCCCATATTAACTGCATTCCAAATACAGTGTAGATTTTGAAATTGTCCCATTGAGTTAATTTGGTCTCCTACAGCTTTCTATAAACTTCAAATTAACCTTAGTCAATGGAGTTGAGAGACTATGGCTTTAAAAAAAGTTAATGCAAACCTGGCTTTAGCTGTAATAACACCCACCTAGTAAATTAATATTACCATAAGAAAATGTGATACTTTCTGATCTTGTTTTTAAAGTTGAAATGCAACAAACTTTTTCTTGCTGTATAAATATTCTGCATATGTATTAATAAGCATAGCTTTCAAGAAATTGTCACAAAAGGTTTTATTCTCTTTGCTTGTGACTATTTTCCATTGAAGCATGCGCTTACCCTATGCTGATTCCTACTAAAAGCATAGGCTGGGGTATTGGCGAGAGGAAATGTGTAGTGTGGGCTAGACTGTTGGTGGAGGCTGGCTTTTTAGCTCACTTGCTATACATGCTGCCAATGGATTTTAAGACAACAATGTTGAAAGTTGAGTGGAATTCTTTTCCCTCCTAAAACATGTATTTACAACAGTACTCCTCTACCCCTAAGGTTGGGCACTCTGCCTCAGAGGAGTGAGTTTTTTCCTATAAAGTTTTAAAATTGAGTGTATTTCTGGTCATTGCCTATGCAAATATAAGAAATCTGGCTTTTAAATAATAGTCAGTTTCATGGCTATGACCATATTGTTTTCTTGTGTATCTAAATGCCTGTATGAAATGAACTAATGGTTTTTCTCCCCTCCCTACTCCCTTTCCTCATGAACAATGCTTTAGGTATATCGAAATCTTTAAGAGCAGTCGTGCTGAAGTTAGAACTCACTATGATCCACCACGGAAGCTTATGGCCATGCAGCGGCCAGGTCCCTATGACAGACCTGGGGCTGGCAGAGGATATAACAGCATTGGCAGAGGAGCTGGCTTTGAAAGGATGAGACGTGGTGCTTATGGTGGAGGTATGTGAGGATTTTTCAGGGGTCAACAAAAAACAGCTTCTTTGTTCATTTGATTGACACTATACTATCCTGTCTTTCAGGTTATGGAGGCTATGATGATTATAATGGCTATAATGATGGCTATGGATTTGGGTCAGATAGATTTGGAAGAGGTAAGGTAAGAATATGATTTCTCAGCTGAAGAGTACTTACACTCTTGTCCATCTAGACCTCAATTACTGTTTTTCAGGAATGTCTGACCATAGATACGGAGATGGTGGGTCTACTTTCCAGAGCACAACAGGACACTGTGTACACATGCGAGGATTACCTTACAGAGCTACTGAGAATGACATTTATAATGTAAGTGTAACATGAGGTCCACAAGTTGGCTGTTGGCCTGTGGCAGTCAAAACTAAGTGAAAGCAGAATGTTAGGAATTTTTGTTTTTGGTAAAATCAGAAAGTTGACTGACATTCTCTGAAATGCCTTGTACTTTAGTTTTTTTCACCACTCAACCCTGTGAGAGTACATATTGAAATTGGTCCTGACGGCAGAGTAACCGGTGAGGCAGATGTTGAGTTTGCAACTCACGAAGATGCTGTGGCAGCTATGTCAAAAGACAAAGCTAATATGCGTAAGTGATTTCTCTGTCTTAAGGCTCTGTCTGAGGTGGTTGAGTGAAATTTACTGGGGGAATGGTAGATAGAAGTTCTCTGACAGGTAATTTTGGGATGCGTTAAGCTTCGTTACAAGATTGAAAGGGGGCTTTTGTGACAAGTAGGCTAGAAGTATGTGCTTAGTGTGCTAATGAAAGGAATGTACTTTAAATGAATGTTTGAAACCATGTAAAGTAAATCATTAGAAATTTTGTTTTACCTGAGTATTTGAAATTCACAGATCTGCTTGTTAAAGAACTTACTGTTTTCTCTCACCAACAAATATTTCCCAACTTTTTTTTCTCTCATTTCAGAACACAGATATGTAGAACTCTTCTTGAATTCTACAGCAGGAGCAAGCGGTGGTGCTTACGGTAGCCAAATGCTAGGAGGCATGGGTTTGTGTAAATATCACTTTAGTGTCTTTTTTTAAGCTAACCTTGTATGCCTTTTCTCTCATTTCAGAACACAGATATGTAGAACTCTTCTTGAATTCTACAGCAGGAGCAAGCGGTGGTGCTTATGGTAGCCAAATGATGGGAGGCATGGGCTTGTGTAAATATCGTTAGTTTTTTTAAAAACCAAAACATATCTATATAAGTCAATTAAATAAGTTATTTTCTAGTTAATGTTTAGCATAATGTAAGCACAGAAGTTTTGAGTTTTGTATGTTGCTTAAATCTTGTTTATATAAATTGCTTAGCAAAATCTATGTAGCTTTATGGATTTTGGGGGGATTATAAACACTTGTTTAATGTATAAATCTTAAAAGTTAATACTTGGTGGAAAAGCACAGGATGGTCAAAGTGGTCATAATTAGGTAATCACTGATACCTGTGTATTGCCATAACAATGCATAAAATTATGGGTGATAACCCCCATTAAATCCAATTCAGTGGTTTCATAAAATTGTCACAAAAACCTGTACTTTATGGAAATACGTGGACTTAGTCCTGCTGATGTGTATGCTGTTGACCATTTGGATTATGTTGGACTAGCTCACATGGTGGATAGAATAGTCTGGTTATAGATGGTAGAAGGGGGTTGGTAGAGGGTTATAGAGTAAGAGTATATAAGAAAAAGACTGGAAATTATAGGTTTAGAAGTACAAGCCCGGTACCACCAGGTACCACACTACTTAGAGGATAAGGTTCTAATGATACCTTAACTTAACAGCAAACCAGTCCAGTTATGGTGGCCCAGCCAGCCAGCAGCTGAGTGGTGGTTATGGAGGCGGCTATGGTGGCCAGAGCAGCATGAGTGGATATGGTAAGTTATTTTTTAATTACTGTTTTTCAGATAAGTTAGGCAGATTTCATTAGTTGGGAATACGCAGGCTCCTTTTTGATGAAATTGGGTCATTAAATGTATGCTTTTGATCCTAATGTTAAGCTGTTCTTATTAGCATAATTTTCAGAAACAATCATTGGGGAGGGGGATATAGTCTGTAAATAATAGTCATTTTTGCAACTTGGAATAATGTAGAGCCAGAAAATATCTGCCTTCATTTATTAAAAGTTAACTTTATCTGTCTTTTGGTTATTAGCATTAAATCGATTTTAGGTGGAAGTAGTTTAAATTGATTGGTGGTTGGGTTCAGACCGTATTTATTAGTCAGTTAACCTAGGATTGGTTTTGTTTTTTTTTTTCAATTGGTCTAAAGAATGGTGATTTTGGTATTATAGTCTTACCCTACAAAATCCTTTTGCAGACCAAGTTTTACAGGAAAACTCCAGTGATTTTCAATCAAACATTGCATAGGTAAATATTTTCTCAAAAAATATAATTTAAATTCCCAATAGCACATACTGATGTTGTAATGACAATATTTCTATAGCAATGGCTCTCACTTAACTCCATGAAAGCTGCCATTTTGGGCACAGTGAGTTTCCTTTACTCCAACTTTGTTGTCTCACTTAATGCCCACCATGAATAGGAAAAGCACGAGACTGCCCCTATGCTCCCTATTCATCATGCCATTCAATGGACACATTATGAATGTTTATGGTAAATTTTTTAAAAATGCCTGTTTAGCTTAAAAAATGAAGTAATTTTGCAATTTTTGAAAAACACTAGTTTTCCTTTAAACTTAATTTTCCATGTTGATCCTGAAGCATCCAATTAAATGGTAGCACAAGAGTCTGGCAAGTTGGTGGTACTGCAGAGAAAAGGGGTTAATTGAGACTTGTTTGGAGTCGGGATCCCCCTTTCCCAAACATGCTTCTCGACATGTGGACAGCAGCCACTCCTATACTTTTTAAACTTTTCTCTTGGAATGCTAAATATTTTATTTGCCTGACAAAGCTGATACTCTCCTAACTTTGCAAATTGATGTCTTTGCAGGCAGCCAAGGAGCAGTGAACAGCAGCTACTACAGTAGCGGAAGCCGAGCATCTATGGGAGTGAACGGAATGGGAGGGATGTCTAGCATGTCCAGTATGAGTGGTGGATGGGGAATGTAATTGATCCTGATCACTGACTCTTGGTCAACATTTTTTAAAGAAAAAAGTTTAACAGTTTTGCAGTACAAACTTGTGACTTGCGCTTATTCTAAGTGGAAATCTGGATTGTTTCGAAGACTTAAAAGTTCAGTATTTTTGAACACAACGGTCACCCAGAATGTAACAACAAATTTGAGTGTGAACAATACTGTTAAACAATTTTCAGCTTTTCTCAAGTTAGTTATACTGTAGGATGTACTTAAGCAGTAAGTGTATTTAGGTTAAAACAGTTGAATTATGTTAAATGTTGCTCTTACACAATATTATATTGAACACTGTTTGGATGCATGTTGAAAGACATGCTTTTTTTGTAAAACTCACGATAGGAGCTGTGTCTACAATTAAAAGTGAAACATTTGGCATGTTTGTTAATTCTAGTTTCATTTAATAACCTCTAAGGCACGTAAGTTTAAGCTTTTCTTTTTCTTTTTTTTTTTTAAGTTAATGGGGAAAATCTGAGACAAAATACCAATCCATAGGGATTTTGGTCTTGGTGTTTGTATGAAATTTTGAGGCCTTGATTTAAATCTTTTCATTGTATTGTGATTTCATTTTTAGGTGTATTGCGCTAAGTGAAACTTGTCAAATAAATCTTCCTTTTAAAAACTGCACTTTGTCTTGTCTGTGCTTCAGTGTCATGTGGACTGTTTCTTGGTGCTCTGTTCCTGCCTGGGGCGTAGGTGACTGTTGGCCCATGGCCCACGTCTCTGGCTGTGGCAGAGAGGCTCGGCAGTTGAGGCTGCTGTGTAGATGTCTTCAGACTTCTCTTCCCTACAGTGCAACTGAAGGTAAAATGTTGTGGGGCCCTTGTGGAAGGCCTGTTGGGCCTGGCTGCGCAGAACCTGTGTCACCTGCCTTTGACTTGCTAAACTTGCACTGGAGGGAGAGGTGCACGAGCCCTCAATGCATGTCTGCATGTCCTGTGGCATGCCAATGTGAGGTCAGGACTGCTTTGGGAACTGCCCTTCCTGGTATGCCTTTCCTAGAATTTTGCTTAATAATGCCTTGGGAGCTTGCTCAGAAGACGGCTTCATTGCTAAGCCTCAGGTGCCACTTAAATAACCCCATTCACTGTACAGTAAAAACAAAGACGGGTAGTCTGGAACTGGAGTGACATGTTAAATCTTAATACAGAAAAAGCCATGGATTTGTCATCCTGCAAGGGCCGTGCTAATCTGTGTTAAATATTTTAGTGTATATGTGCTGAGTTAGATTTCAAAAGATGTAATTCCAGAAACCCTTTCTGTGGGTTCGGAAACTGGTTCTGGTCTCAAGTTAGCTTGGAATTAGAATTGGAGGAGTGGATAATCATTTTTGTGTGTGGTTTGAAGCCAGGTTTGAACAGGAGTTTACTGTTTTTGACAGTAAAAGGGAGTCTTAGGCATAGGTGTTGGACTGATGTAAATTTCTTGGAACCACATAGTCCTAAGGATGATGTAAGATATGCATGAGAGGTCGTATAGGGGTCCTCCCTGCCTTGGCAAGGACTGGGTACAGCTGGCTAGTGCCATTTCATTCTTATCAAGGCCTGCAATGGGATATGAGGGGTTACAGAGGATGTGCTTCATTGTCATGTGCAGGTTGAGAGAATCACCAGAGTTCGGAAGGCACGATTGCATACTGTTATTTGGATTCAAGGGAGTCTTAGGCTGTTTCCCCTGACTGAAGAACATTTTTTTTTTTTTTTGAAAATGTGGCCTGTTTGCGGAAAAGGAGGGGCTGGAACTAGAAATTTGTGAGTTTGTAAGCTAATTCAGAATTGACTGGTCTTGTCAAATGATATGATCCACATTCTGGTTCTTTGGAAGTTATGGCTCTGTGTACTAGCATCTGGGAGTCTTTCAATCTTGATTTAACATGATAGCCCACCTACCCAAACCTTCTCCCTGATAGCCCTGTACATGTAGTTGAGAAAGCTTTGCCTTAGAGCTTCTTTTCCTTATTGCTTATGTCAGGGCAGGTTATCAGATGAGACCGAGGGCTTAGGACCATGTGTGAAGTTCCAAGTAGAAAAGTTATCCCATATTTCGGGTTGATACCTTGCATGAGGATCCCAGTAATAATGCTCACCAAACACCTGCCTGGGGGTGGGGAGGTGAGGTTCAAGGAGGAAAGTGGGTATGTTGGAAAGAGCAGTGAACAAGTGGCACCGTGGTGGGAGCTTTATAGGCACTCTTGCTAAGATGGCGGAAGTGTATTAAATAGGGAGGTATTATCCCACTTCCTTTTTTTGTGTGTACAGATAAGAGCTGAGGCTCTGAAGTAAAGTGACTTGCCCAAGACTCCCCAGCAAGTTGGAGTCCAAATTGGGTGCATTGAAAACAAGGTACAGCTATCTAATACTAAGACCGATTAGTTTTGGGGTAGTGCAGTGGTATGTAAACTGGTGAGAAAGGGGGGCCTTTGATAACACGAAAAGCTGCTCAGGGTAAGGGCAGAGGAGTTCTGTGGAGGAATATGGTGGGGAAGCTGGTCAGTTTAGAAATCTAATTGCATAGGTCTTTGTTACCAAGTCTTGCTGAATCTGTAACTACCTTCAAACTAGTTTAAGTGAGCACCAGGCTGTGGTGGACACTTAATTCTGGGGAAGCTGGGAGTATGACGGCTGAGACTAGGCCGGAGTACTGGTTGGAGATGGAATGACAAGGTGAGAGTCCAGCCAAGGGTGGAGAAGGCTGAGACCTGGCAGATCATGATATTTGGACATAATGCTTTAGGTTCTTAACCCTAAACATTCCAGATACTGACTTGTGTTCCAGGAGGCTGGGGGAGGGGAGGCAGTGCTCTCGGTGGGGCACTGCAAGAGGAAGGTGCTGAACCAGCAGTTCAATTCCTATAGCAACACGAGACAGCTTTGGGTTTTTGAAGCTCCTTATCCATATGGTAATAAGAAAACAGCTTTTGAGCTTTGCTAACAGGCTTAATTAAGGTAGTTTCCTCTGCCCTTTCACTTTGCCAGTGGCATAACTTGTCCCCTGCAACCTAGTAGGCACCCAGGCCTCAACACAAGGCCCTTAATGAGTCCTGGTGGGTTTGCCGAGAGGCCCTGCAGAGGCAGCTTCTGTGAAGTGGACAAAGGCACCTTCGCTTTCTGCCTCCAAATGAAATGATTTTATTGCATGGCACTGATGGACTCACAAGGGTGAAATGGCAGATTTCTTCATGGAGGTACACAGAGCAGAGAGAAAAGAAACCCCATTATTTACTGCACTTCTACAACTGCTACAAAATGTTAATTTGAAAAGTGGAAGCTGAGGACATCAGCAAAATCATGAAGTTTTATCTATTCCAAACCAAAGCCGTTGAAGGAGGAAGGAGTGTATTAAGCTTGAATTCAAAGGAATTGTATAATTCAGAAAGGGCACGCAGTTTCCAGTCCCACATGCCGTTCCAGTGGCTGCAGCCCTGGCCAAGGTTTTATTCTTACTCTTTGCGTCTCTGGGACAAACTTCTTGCAAGCCTTCAGTTCCCAGAGACCCAGAGTTTGGCACTGGTTCAGGGCTGCCGGAGCCCCGCCTCACCCCCAAAGCAGGTTCGCACCAGGTGGCACGGCCGTCAGGGTGCCCTCCTAGGAGCCCGTGGAGGAGCAGCTCTGCAGCAGCAGGGTGTGGCAGCTGTCGCACACGCGCACGGGCTTGGGGTAGGAAGGCAGGGCCAGCTCGTTGCTGGAGCAGTTGTTGCAGAAGATGTGGCCACAGTTGCGGCAGTGGTGCTAGAGGACAGGAGAGAGGTACTTGCACAACCTGTTACATACACTCCAGGTCTCCATACCAGCCCCACTTTTTAGTGATCTCTCCCCAGGAGGCAGTTAGCAGTGTATTTGGAAAGGTTTCTTCTAAAGCTTCATTTTTACATCTGGTCCCTGGAAAAATCTCTGGGAGTGCTGGCAAAGGGGTGTAGAGTTGTATGAGTAAGTTTTTTACCCCCCTCCCTTTAAAAGTTGTTTCCTGGACTTGACGTTCCTTGCGGTCTATAGAGCCTGTGACCCATGATGGTGGTGACCCATGGTTTCTGTAGCTGGCCTCTCCCAAGCAGGGAGTTTAGGGGCACTGGCAGTCACCTGTGTGGGCCCTGCTCTTCACTATTACACTACTGCCCTCATCAGCCTAGATGATGGACCGGGGCCATTCTGGTGGGGGACAATCTGTCTCCAACCTCCAGCAGGCCTTACATTCTGTGGTGGATCTTACCTCAGGACGGCTGTTTAGTCCTTTAGCCCTATTGTTGCAAGGCACTAACTAAATTTCAGGAGTTTTGCTTCCTCTTACACAGAGGAAACAAACATCCACATGGCAAGATAGGAACACTTGGACCTTCTCCTGCCCAGTGGGTTCATTGAGGCCCTGTCACCCTGAAACAAAGGCTGGACCCCTGAGCAGAATTTGTAGTTCTGGAGTCAGACAGCACAGGCAGAGGCAGACTGATTGGGGCAAGTGCCCTGCCCAGACAGCCAGTGAGCTTTTGGGGTTCTTTTTGATGCTTGTTTTGAGATCTGCCACATTAGGTTCCCCATAGATTCAGTTTTTTGCTTCAGTAGCCAGATTTTGGGTCCTGCTGCTTACAAATTTTCAGCAACATACAGTCATCCAATACCCAAAGGAATTTGCCAGTTATTGAACATACTGAGAACAAGGCCTGTGACTGGCTGTTGCCTAAGGTAAGGTAATCTTGAAAGCTGCATAGTCATCAATCCAGTGAAAGGGATCACAGTGTGGTGGACCTTGGTGCCTGTGGCTTTTTCCAGAGCCAAAGGAAGGGGAATCCCAGCAGGTAACTCCAACATACCTTTCTCCGGGAGATGGAGAATTCCTTTTCGCACTGTTTACAGTGTGTTGCTTCATCATCTTTCAGCCAAGTATGTCCCTGAGGAGTAAAAAGTAGCACAGAAACCCATTTTAGAGCTCTGCTCCAGAGCTTGTGTCCTGGCCTAGCACCTACTGTCCCTCCTCTACACTAACTGTGGCTTCACAGAACTAGCCCTTGCCCTGACAGCTGGAGCTCAGGCTAGACAGTTCATGAGTCCAAACTGCTGGTAATTTCCTCAAGTTAGATTCTTTTTACCCCAGAGATCTGCTCTCCTTTGGAGGTACCAGTCAGTACCTAGGTGTTGACACATCAAACCCTGCTATCCAGAGACCAGGTGAACTGGCAGGAGGGGAAAGGGCCCACTGACTGCCACACCAGAACAATGGGGGCCCCTTCACACACGCCAGACCTGTGGTGAGGGCAGCCAAGGCTTTGAAAGATGCCTTTTTGGATGGCTCTGTAAGGAATACCTTACTTATCCACTGAGTACTTAACTGGACTGAATGGTTCAAAGGGATCACCAACCTGATGTTCCTTTCTGGCTTCTTAGCCCCTTCCAGATACACCTTTCTTGATGACATTCATCAGGCTTAGGATGAGGTGCTACCCATGCTTTCTGCTGTCATACAGCTCCCATTGGCTCTAGAGTCCCACTTAGGTTTTTAGCCTCCCTCTGGTACTATCATTTTGTGCCAACTCTGCAGTGCAGGGGATATAAGGCAAACAGACCACAGCAGTCATGTGCAAGGAGCTCAGTCTGTAAAGGAGGAATAAACGGACAGGAACTCCAAGTCCAGGCTGCTATGATAATCTGCCTGTGACTAGGCAGTGTACTTGAAGTCAGGTGCTTAGAGACATTAGGGTTTCTGCTCCAGCCTAAGCCGCAGGACCCCACGTGGAGGAGGGCTACGTGCACATCGCTCCTGCCAGAGCTGGGGCTTGGAACATCTCCCCTGCACCAGGCCAGCCCCTGGCCTGTAATGTGCACAGTGGTCAACATGTGCTCCTTAAGTGAGTCATTCTCCCCCTGAATGGTTGCAAATCTTGGCCCTGCTGAGGGTTTAAGTGCTCCTCAGAACTGGCAGGGGGCACTGCAGCCTCTTGCCCCAGACAGTGTACTTGACATTAGCATGAACTGACAGTCATGAGCAATGATTTTTATGCTAACAAAGATGTTCCAGTACCTTCAGTGCTTTATTTACTTCTTTTATGTCTTCCATCTTCAGCTTCGATCTTAAAAACAAATTCATAGTCATGAGAGAGAGACTAAAAGTCAAACCAAATCTACAGTGACTGTTTAGCTTTGCCAAGGTAATGGGGTATGTGTGACGAGTATACAAATTGTTATAAAGTGCCTCCCACCTTTCTAGAATCCGAGTCACCTCAACACACTGGCTGAGCCTTCCCAAGATGGAAAAAGAATGGTTGCAATCACTTACAAACTTAAGAGTTCTATCACAGAAGGTGAGGACTCTTGCTTCTCTGTATAACCATTCCTGAGGATGACAAGTGCTGGGGAGGCTGCCTCTTTATCAGATTTTGTGTTTCTCCCCAGCCCTTTTCCTTTTGCCTGTTCAGCCTAGAAAGTTGTGGTCAGAACAGTTCCTTGGTTGTCTACATAAGAGATAGGCGGAATGTGGTCTAAATTGGCAGAATCATACCAAACAGACAAACTGTTACTTATAATGTGGGGAGAACTTGTTTGAGCCCTTTCTTAAAAGCTAAGATTAGACTAAACTGTTACTAGATTACCCTAATCTCAGTGTCAGAGTGGAACGGCTAGACTAGACTTCTAAGGGAGAATTAAGGAACTGAACATCAGGGCCTTTAGGAAAAGTCTGTGGTCTTCAGGGATGACTGCAGAGGCTCTTTCCCTCCCTGGACCAGCTGCAGAAATAGGCCAGCAGATGAACAGGCTTGAAGGCTGCCTAGCATGGACAGACCCAGGAAACTAGGCCAGGATGGCAGTGTGAACATACATAGACTTTCCTGGATATAAAGCTCTGGAAAACTAGATGTTCCCAAGGTAAAGAAATGGCAAGCGTATAGCTGGTGGGAGGCCCTAAGAAGAGACTTTTTTTGTCATTTGATATGGGCTTACAAGAGGCAGGGAAGAAGGAGAAAGGCATAAAGGCAACTCCTTACATAGCTGTCTGGGGTCACAAGTCCCTGCCATGCAACACCCTAGCTACTTACCTGTGAGGGACATTCTGAAATCTGGGCCTGGCAGCACTGGGTACCACCGCTTACACAGAGGTGTATTTTCAAAGCTAGCATGTCCACATTTCCAAAGTCCCTGGTCTACAATGAAGGAAGATGTTCGTGGATCGGCCTGCTGTTCATCCAGTGTGAAAGAATGAATGGTGAAGAAATGGTGCTAGCTAGCCGCTTGAGAAGGGGACCCATGTTAGAGCTGCCTGGAGGAGGCCACCTCTTTCAATACTATCACAAACCCAGGAGGCCAGAGTCATGTTTAGCCTTCACACCTGGTGTTCTTTAGTCTCCTGGGACTCCTCAGCTGATTTGTGTTCTGAGCATGGCAGGCACTGGCCTGCTCTCAAGGAGTACCTCTCATAGTGTGGAGAGAGGGGTGAATCTCAGACCAGAAATGAGGGATCAGTATCTTACCTCTGAGTTGGATATGGTGACAGGATTGAATGACCATCACCTTCACCACAAAACTATTTCAAAAGATGGCACTCCCATTAGGGTCACAACATTCTCCTGGCTTGGACCACACCACCACTCTAGATCTCATAACTTTAGATTCAGAAAATTCCTATACTTAAGTGTACCTGCATACTTCATTGTGTTTCTAGTGTATTCTCATTAACCTCCATTGCCAGGCCTTTTCTGGTCATGCTAGTGCTGGGCCTGACCCCCTCTCTGGTGACCCTGCACTGACACTAGACTCCAGTGGGAGCAGGGAGGAAACCCAGAAATGATGGAGAAAGGGGAACTTCTGTTCTCTGACAGATGGCTCTGCTGGCTGTCACAGGTGCTGGTGTTGGTCAACCTTACTGAGAGGTATGAGGCTGGATGGTAGAGGTGGAAGGTGGAGACTGATGCCTTTTTTCTCTTAAAAATGGTTAAGTTCTACAATGTGCAGTGTGATCATTAAGACTGTCCAGGGTTACTTGGCAGGAGTGGACTAGCAGACAGGACAGCAATTGAGTTGGGAGGAGACAAAGTTCCAGGGTCTGTGCTTCCATAGCACAACAAGAAGAGTGACAAGATTCAGAGGTGAGTCTTGTTCCAGGGGAGGTGGGTGGCTCCCGTGCTTGCTTCACGGCACGCCATGGCAGCTGAAATTTTGACTGGTCTGACTGCAGGCCCGAAGAGCAAACAGCTCAAAACCCATCTGGTTCTCTTGGGACCTACATGCCGAGTGAACACGAGCGTTCTGGTCACCAGAAAAGGATAGTCTCAATGAACTGCAGTCATTGGTGGCTTAACAATGGGGATGGTGCTGAGAAATGTGCTGCTAGGTAGTGATGCTGTGGGCATGTTATGGAGTGTAATCACCCGTCTGGATGGCAGGGCTGACCAGAAACCTCCTGGGGCTGCTGTTGTATGTGTGAACTGTCACTGACTAGAACACTGTGAAGTGACACAAGACGTCCATTAAGTCAGTGCTGCGTCCTTGAGACCTGACTTCGTGGGGGTCACCCTGGACCACTGGCTGTGCTTCTAATTGGTCCTTCCTCATTATGCCACAATGCAAGTCTGGGGCTCGAGGAATGTGGCAGGCAGGCTGGTGTGACCCTCCCCAGGAAGGAGAGGGCCCATATGTGCTGCTGTAGTGGGATTCTTACTGGCTGAGGTGCAGTCCCATTTCCTGGAGGGCTTGTTCCTGCTCATCACAAACCTTCTGTAACTCTGCCTTCTCATCCTGCAGCTCCCGCAGCTCCTAAAATGAACAAATCAGTTGCTTGACATAGAATTTAAAGTCCTTTTCCTTTTAAGGCTTATTAGTCACAGCACCAAGCTGGTCAGGATGTGTGTCAGGAGCAAAAAATGTTTTTGTTGTATTAATGTCATTAACAGTGAGGATTATTTCACAGCTTACTTCCCATCAGCTCTTAGGCACCTGGAGGATGCCTCACAGGAGCGGCTCTGCAGCAGGCAATGGACTGGTAAGTTCCATAGGCAAGTTAATAAAAAGTTTTTAACAGGGGCCTCCCTGGTGGGGCTGGGGTTAAAGACAGCACTAACAATCTATCGCCAGCCACTGTAGCATGAGTTCTTTGATCCCCGGCCAGCCAGGGAGCTGCAGACCTTTCCTGTCTCGCTAGCTGCTCCCCTCATCCGTGTATTTCAGTCAGTCCGCCTGTTCTGCTCCCTACTTTGTCTCTGTTGAATCCTCTCACCCCCAACACTTCTGGCCTGCACCTCAGTTCTTGTATGCATAAATAAATGTTTTTAAAAAACACATGTGACCCTTCCACCAATTAGACAAAGTCTGCACCAGTGAAGGCTAGTTTGAAAAAACTGTTTTTTTGGGAAAGGCATGTCCAGCATTTTCTGAGAATGAATGAGCAAGGATGATGTAATGAGTGATCTCATTCGCTGCCTGAGTGGCAAGACCTGATGGCTGAGAGGAAGCCCAGCAGCCATGTGTGTGGACAGCGGAGCTCCTGAGGTGACAATGATAATGGTTTCTGACTGGAACACTTTGGGAAACAAAGGCTGGTGAGGGCCAAAGGAAGACTAGAAAAATCACTTGGGGTTCAGGGTGACCATGGGCAGCAGTGGTACCGAGACCTGAGTTCCACACAGCATCCCCTGGGCTTTCTGCTCGAGAGCCTAGGAATGGCATGCAATGCACCTGGAGACTTAACTGCTGAACTCAGACATGTCATTTTATTTCTTTGGGTGGTTGCGAGGGGTAGGAGGTGGGGGGATTACAAATTTTAGACCAGTGTACTTTGGAGACATGTTCCTTGACACAGCAGAACTTCCTAGAAGTCCTCTTTGCCCTCTTTCCTTTCCTTTCCTCCCCAAGTCTGAGCTGGTTCTTGAACCTCTCCCATCCCCGGTGATTTCTACTCCACTTCTAGTGGGCCCTCCACAAGGGGCTCTAGGTACTTTTCAACAGAAGTCAAAAGGTCTCGTCTTGGCTCAGACTGCATGGTAAATCCCCACTGCTTTGTTCAAGAAGCAAAATCAAAACCTAGAAGCTGCACCAGGATCCTCCAGGGAAGGTGTTGGGCCGGAAGGCTGCCACTGGCCAGCAGACCTGGGAGTCTGGTGCAGAGACTACCAGTCCCAGAGGGAAGGGCCATGGAGGCCAGAGGAAACCCCAGCTCCCTGGGCTGCAGTCAGCTCTAAACAGAACTGCTGGTACCTTCCTACCTCCTGGGAGGACTGCTTGATGATTTTAAAGTAGGAAAAAAATTGTAGACTCAGCTGTTTCGTGGGTAGTCTAGGTCTAGTTCTATAATGAGATGCTGGCATAGCCACATCCTCTGGCTCTTTGAAGCTTCACCATAGCATACAAGCCCTGCTTCAAGTGGGGCCTCAGGTCACCCTTGAGGTGGACTAGGCTTGGGTTTAGACCTAAGGGACGGGAACAGACTAAGGTTCAGTCTCAGGGAGATCTGGGGATCTGGTTCAGTCAGCTTCCAAGGAATGACCCAGGAACTGTGGTTCTGGGAACCAGGATATCTGACCCCACACCTCTGGAGATAAGGCATGGACCAGTATTTGTTTGAAATGTTTACTGGTTATTCCCAGTTCCCTCTCTTATAAACCTACCATTCTCCATAGAGTAGCCAGTGATTGCCTTAAAGTGACAGCTTTAAGACAGCTTCCTAGCAGGCTTGGGAAAAAAATCAAATCCCATAAAGTGTTTCAGGCCCATAGCTGGCACTGTCTACCTGAGGTTGCAGCTCACATGCTACTTGCTTCTGCTAACCATACTTCAAACACAAGAGGCCCTTCTGCTCCTGCAGTGAGGCAGACCCTCATGCTTCCTGATATCTCTGCCTGAGAGGTTTTTTGCTCAAATCTCTGTGTCAAACTGTCATTCTCTTCTGAAGCTACCCTGCCCCATGTGGGGGGTACTTTCCTTTTATTCTCTTTCTAGGGCACATCACTGAGCCCACCTGCTTTGCTCACTGGCTTGTGATATGTCTTTGCAGTTTCCTTCTGCAGCAGGAGCCCAGAGGGAAGGACAACAGAGCCCCAGGCCCCTGTGAACACGCATAGCAGGGCCTGCTTCTCTGGCTGGGATCTCAGTCAGGAGGTGTGTATTAGTCTCAGCTGGAGGGGATTTAGTAGGGGATTCTGGAGACACTGGACAATCTTTCTGGTACAGCCCTCTTTACCTTTTTTAATCCTTCTACTTGTTGCAGCTCTGTTCGGAGCAGAGAGGAGGTATCCTTTTCATGCTGCAATTCTCGCTGTAGAATCTGTCTCTGTTCTTTTTCTGATTTCAACTCCTTCTCTAGACTTAAGCTGCATTCCCAAAATAAACTTGAGTTAGTCTTCGTTGGAGATTTTCATGGAAAACCCAGAATCCAAATCACCAAACAGAGTAAGGACTTCAAGGGAATCTGAATTGTCATGTGAACATCTATCAGACCCTTCGAGAAAGCACAGAAACACTGCTTCCTCTCCCCAGGGCTGTCTGCACCTCCCTAAGAAAGACCCGAACTCAGAGGAGAAAGCAATGCAGGCACACATTGGAAATTTAATGCAAATGGAGAATGGAAAAGGCTCCTGAACACTTCTCCCACAGGCAGAAACTTCTACTAGATAGGAGTCTGAGCCCCAGCACTCATGCTTCCTTTTCCCGACCAGAGCCAGCTGATATGAAAGATACTAGGGGACGGTGGGGGAGAAAGCTGCTGAAGGCCAGGACTGATCTCAGCTGAGTGTGGAGAGCCCTCATCTGCTAAGGAACCCTGGGCACATTGCTGGACCCTCTGTAATGGTTTTCCCCTTTACGAAACAAGGAAGAGAGAGATTTCTCATCACTGGGGTTTTCACTTGATGCCAGTGCTCTCGTCATGGCCCGGCCTCGCAGGGTTGCCAGCCCTCTGAAGTGGGGTGCTCTTGCCCACAGCCCTCCCCGAGCCCCTGCCGCTCCTACCACTGGTCACGCAGCTGGGAGAGCTGCCCCTGCAGCGCGTCAGTTCTCCCGCTCAGCTCCTGCTGCAGCCGGTGGCTCCGCTCCTCTGCCCCCTGTCTTGCCCTCTCAGAGAGCTGTAACCTGGACCAAGAGAACCAAACCTGTGTGAGGAATCAGCCAGTCCCACAAGTTACAGTTAGTTACACTGTATGTTAGCTCTGTAGCATACAGTGCTATTTGTTGATATTCTTGCTGGCTTATGATTTTTCTTGTATCTTTAACCTGAGATACACACAGTGTAACTGAGTGGTGTGTGACCAGGATCCTTGAGTTTCAGCACGTGCAGAGATCATGGAAGCACCATGGCAATCAGAATACAGAATAGTCCCATTATGAAACTCTCTAATGCTGCCCCCCGTAGCCACACCTCTCACCCTTAAAACCTGCCAACCACTTACATGCTCCTATACCACATAAGTTTGTTTTTATGAGACTGCTTTATAACTAATAATATATCATTTGAGACTGGCTTCTTTCTCTCATAATGTTTTTGACATCATCCAAGCTTTCTGGGTATCAGTGATTCCTTCTTTTTTATGGCTAAGTAGTATTTCACCATGCAGATGTACTGGTTTGTTTATCCTTTCCTCTAATGTAAGATAATTGAGTTTATGGCAATTAGGAATAGAGTTTCTACATGTCTGTACAGGTTTCTGTGTGAACTTAAGTTTTCATTCTCTTGCACAAACCTCTTGCACAAACAGCCAGAAGTAGGATTGTTGGGTCATTTGGTAAGAATATGTTCAACTTTTTAAGAAATTGCTTTCCAAAGTGGCTATACCATTTTACTTTCCCACTAGTAATGATGAGAAGTCTAGCTCTTCCAGTATTTGGTAATGACATTAGAAAAATTGTATAGGTCCTCTCTGGTGACGCAACGGGTTAAAGATCAGCACTGCAAGCGAGCCGCAGCCTCTATAGTGCGAGTTCGATCCCCAGCCCCGGAGTGATCCACATGGTGCAGCAGACCTCTCCTGACCTGCCCACTGCTCCCTTTAGCAGCATACTTCTTCAGTCTGCCTGTTCTGCTCCCCACTCTGTCTCTGGTGAATCCTCTCACCATCCCTGCATCTCTGGCCTGCACCCCAGTTCTGTATGCATAAATAAATAAATCTTTAATATAATAGTTTTTTTTTTTTAAACATCATTTTGTACATTTCCATCTCAGCTGCAATCCCCCCCCCCCCATTTTTGATCCCATTTCTCACCCCACCCCCACAAAATGTCTCTGGTATACAGCTGTTCATCATCATCATTTTCTCGCTTGTTCCGTTATAATCCAGCTATGGGTACCTCATGGCTTTGATGCATACTTCTCTCCCATCCAAGAACTAACCAGGCCTGTCCCTGCTTAGCTTCCGAGACCAGATGAGACCGGGCGCGTTCAGGGTGGCATGGCCGTGGACTGTGTGGACTTCTCTCTAATAGCTGATGAAGCCGAACGTCTTTTTGTATGTTTATTTACCATTCATGTGAAATATCTTTTGTCATTTTACGCTTTTATGTCACTGAATATTGCTTTGCCCAAAACAGAGACATACATCCTTCTAGTTTTCTTCTAAAAGTATTATAGTTTTAGGGCCCTCTCTGGTGGTGCAACGGGTTAAAGCACAGCATTATGAAGATGTCTGACGCCACTGCAACACAAGTGTAATCCCCGGCCAGGGAGCTGACCTCTCCTGGGCCGCCTGAGGGGGGCCCCTCAGCAGTGTACTTTGTCAATCTGCCTGCTCTGCTCCCTACTCTGTCTCTGGTGAAGCCTCTCACCCACACCTCTAACCTATAATCCAGTTCTATAGGCATAAATAAGTAAATCTTTAACAACAACAACATCAAAAGTTTTACAGTTTTATATTTAGACTTGCAATCCATTCTGAGTTCATTTTTATGTAAGGTGTAATGTGTAGAATAAGATTCATTTGTGAGGTATAGACTGATACTCATTCTGACTTACAGATGACTGATTGTTCCAACATCACTTATTTAAAAGACTATCCTTTCGCCACTGAATTGCTCTGCACCTTTGTAAAGAATCAGTTGCCCATATTTGTGTAGGTCTGTTTTTAGACTATTCTGACTCATGGCTGACTGATATTTACATGTGACAGTAGCAGGAGCTCACTGTATAATCCTCATCCTCTGAGAGGACAATCTAATGCAGTAGTCAAAAAGTGAATTAAGTGGATTAAGTGAATTATAAGCGTAGGCCAAGCTGGTGAATCTGGCTTTCTGGGGAAGGCTGGGCTGGAAGGACAGCCATCCAAACCCATCTGTACTTTGTAGAGTGACTGAGTTTAAGTTCCCAAGTCTTCTGCCATCTATGGACTATGTGCTGGGGGAGGTGATTACCTTTCTTCCATTTGTTTCATACTGGACATAGCCTGATTGTTTTTCTCTTCAAAAGACGTGATAGCATCATTCTTCTGCTGTAAGCTACTCTCTGCAGTCTATAAAGGCAAGGAAAAGGGTTTTACACTCATCTTCCTCTTTCACCTAAATGGGTTTAGTTCTTCATCTTGAACTTTTATAAAAGGCTCAAGAACATTCATTAATTGCTGCTCTTTCCTGGAGCACTGGAAGAAAAGTGACCACAGTTCCCAGCTTTCTCAACAAAAATAAAGGCAAAGAGGGAGATAATAATGTCTTGCCCCCACCCCCAAGAATAGACCATGCTCCTTTTTGTAAGGAAATACAGGGTTAGATCTGTCTCACTAAGACTGAGCTATTCTCATGGGGCATGCAATGTTTATAGCTCTATTCAACTATTGCACATTCTCATCATAGGTGTTGTTAAGCACCTCTCTGAGCAACATAAAGAATGATGTTCGAAATGAGGTAGCACCTGGGTGAAGTTAAGAGTATAAATTCAAGGTTGAGCTGGTTCATACACTTGACAGTGGTTTTCTAAGTCTAGGTTTTCAAACATAGCCTGTGTGTTTGTAAGAGACACTTTCAAAATAAAATACAGAAAGACTGAAGATAGATGAAGTCCTAATAAATTCCTAAGAGATAATGTAGGGAATATATTCACTGATCTAAGTTGTAAAAATAGGCATTACAAAAAAACAGGAAAAAAAAAAGGCATGTTATGAAAAAAACTACTAACCCAAAAAAACAAAAAGAAATTATGAGATACTTACAACTAAGGAGAATAAAAACACTGTTATTTCTGTGCACTAAAGTTATTATAGGATATACACTAATTTTATATACCATTAAGAAAGAAAAAATTGCTATTTGAAACACATCATGCCACTGATTGGATGATGCACTCAATTTTAGATGTGAAAAATGTGTTTTTTAGATGAAGTCTTTGTAAAAATTTGAGGGACAAAGTTAAAGCAGTGCTTGTGGCTCACTTTTAACTTTACCTTCTTTTTAAAGATGTATTCATTTATTTTTTAAAGATTTATTTATTCATACAGAACTGGGGTATAGGCCAGAGGTGCAGGTGTAGTGAGAGGATTCACCAGAGAAGAGTGGGGAGCAGGACAGGCAGATGACGATGAAGTACACTGCTGAGGGGAGCAGCGGGCAGACAGGTCAGGCAGCAGGCAGGTCAGGAGAGGTCTGCCCGCCATGTGGGTCACCTCTCAGGTGGGCGGGGATGGAACTCATGCTGAAGTGGCTTTAGCTTCTTAGTGCTGTGCTTTAACCAGCTGCACCACAAGGGAGGGCCCAAGATTTATTTTTATTTATTTATGCAAATAAGAACTAGGGAGAGTCTAGGCCAGAGGTACAGGGGGTGAGAGGATTTATCAGAGAAAGTGTGGGGAACAGAACCTGCAGACCTACTGAAACACAATGAGGGGAGCAGCAGCCCAGACAGGAGAGGGCTGCTGCAACACGTGGGTCCCTCCTCCCCTCCCCCACCGAACTCCTGCTGTGGCTGGCAATAGCTCGATAGTGCTGAGACATTAACCCCTGTTCTACCATGGAGGCCCAACTGTGTATTTTTTTTATAAAATTAAAAAAGACGTAAGTGTTTCAAAGCAAACCCAAAGAAATAAGAAAAGATGTAATAAAAGTGAAGATAGAAATCAATGAAATAAGGAATGTCAACAACAAACAATACCGAAATTAGGAAAAAAAAAAAACAACTCTGGTTATTTGAAAAGATTATTAAAACTGACACACCTCTGGCAAGACTGAGTAAAGAAAATACAAAAAATGCAAATGAGAGAATGCTAAGTGAGAGGATAAAAAATTTAGTAAAAGTTATTATGAACAACTATGGGCTAAACACATTTGAAAACCTAAAACAAAGTGAGATACAATTTTAGGAAAAAAGTGCCAAAATTGACATAAGAAATGAGTAGCATTCAATAAAAACTGAAATGGTAAGTCGCCTGTCCACAATGCCCCAGGCTGACATAAATAGGTGAGTTTTCAGAATTTTTTGAGAATAGATACTTGCTACCTACAGGAATTGTTCCAGACAAAAAAAAAAAAAAAAAAAAAAAAAGGAGGAAATCATAAATGATAACTTAGAAGTATAACATTACTATAAATAAATATTAAAAAAAAAAAAAAAAAAAAAAAAAGCAGGAAAACTTATTTTATAATGCCAGCCCAACCTTCCTTCTAAAGTCAAGTAAGGTTAGTATAAAAGCAAAGAAAATTGGGGGCCTCAGTGCTGCAGGGGTTAAATCTCAGCATTAGCATGCTATTGCTACTGTAGCCTAAGTTCCATCTGGCCAGGGAGATCTTGGCCAGGGAGTGGACCCACATGGGGCAGCAGGTGTCTCTTTCGCCTGCTGCTCCCCTCAGCAATGTTTTCCAGTAGATCCACCCATTCTGCTCTCCACTCTGTCTCTGGTGACTGCTCTTACCCACCTCCCACCTCTTGCCTAGACCCTGCTTCTTGCATTTGTAAATAAATAAAAAAATTAAAAAAAAAATCTTAAACGGGCCTTCCTTGGTGGAGCAGGGGGTTAAAGCACAGCACTGAGAAGCTAAAGCCACTTCCGCATGAGTTGCATGAGTTCCATTCCCTCCTGCCCCAGAGGAGACCACATGGCGCAGCAGACCTCTCCTGACCCGCCCACTGCTCCCCTCAGCAGTGTACTTCGTAGATCTGCCTATTCTGCTCCACCACTCTGCTCCTCTGCTCGGTCTCTGGTGAAGCCTGTCGCCACCCCTGAGCCTCTGGCCTGTACCCCAGTTCTGTATGCACAAATAAATAAATCTAAAAAAAAAAAAAATTCTTAAACAAAAGTAATAAAAGGAAGGAAAATAAGAGGCCTATCTCATACATAAACATGTATTATTTGTAATGTGACATTAGTTAACTGAATCTACAGTATTTTTAAATAAATCAAAGTCAAGTTGGATTCCAGGGATGTGAGTCTACTGAACTAAATCATAACATAAATAAAGGAGAAAAAGAACATGATTATCACTATAGATAAAATGAAAACAAAATTGCTGACGTTCAGTACTCATTAATAATAAAACATCTGAACAAACAAGAATTAGAAAGGAACTTTCTTAACTCAGTAAAGATTACATAGTAAACATCTAGGAAGTATTATGCTTAATGGAGAAACATTTAAGAGTAGGATCACAAATTTGCTAACTATTTCTACTACTAATGTAATCACAGAAGCCTTGATGAATGACATAAGAAAAAAAACAAATATGAAAATTGAGATTGAGGAGATTAAATTGTCTTTGACTAGGACATGATCAATTACATTTAAAAACAAGAGGATCAACTGATAAACTATTGGAACTAGAAGGTAAGAAAGGCAGTCAAACACAAGATCAACTTGAAATTATAATAATACTTTTTCTACACCAGCAAGACCTAAGTAGAGGATGTAACTAATTGAAGGCACCACTCACATTAACAATTAGAGCTATACAGAATCCAGGCATTCATCTAGAGAAAATGTAAAGGCTTTGTAGAGTACAGGGAATAAAAGAATACCTGAATAAATGGGAGAGTACCTCCTCCTGCTAGTGGCTGGAAAGACACAAGTCCATTTTTTCACAATTTAATTTATAAATTTAATGTAATTTCTACTTATGAAATGCAAGCGGATTTTAAAAAGGAAACTTAGTCCATGCATTAAAAAAAAATTTTTTTAAGAGTAAACATTTACAATAGGTAAGTCAATCTTAAAATAAAAAAAAGGGCAATGAGGGCAGGCTTAATCCATGGTGCTGGGGTTCAGCTACAGCCTTCCCAAACCCATGTGTTTCACACAAGGTGACCTTACTAGGAAAAAGGGTTATTGCTGACATTATTAGTTAAGATGAGGTCATCCTGGAGTAAGGGCAGGCTTCATTCAATATGACTGGTGTCTTTCTAAAAGAGGGAAGTTTGGACAGATATGCACACAGGGAGAACAAGGGCAAGGATGGGGCTGAAAAGTTCTCCAAGTAAAGGAACCAGAAGCTAGGAGAGAAGGCTGAAACAGATTCTTGCTCACAGCCTCAGGAGAAACTCACTCTATGCTAACTCCTTTATCTCAGACTTCTGGTCTTCATAACTATAAGACTGTTACATTCTGTTAAACCACTTAGTTTGCAAGCACTTTGTTAGAGCAGCCCTAGCAAGTTAAGACAACTGGCCAAACATTGAGACATAGTAATTAAAACACCAAGTGAGGAAAATACAAATGAGTTCACCTAGGAAAGAAGTACTCAAAAAAACTCATAGCAACATGTCAATAGAAAATAGAAGTTAATTCAAGGAAATAGAAGCTAATATCAAGGGTTGCCTTTAGTTAACTCTGGGGCAAATTAAACATCAAAATAAATACTGATTATAACAGATTACAACCCACAATCAACTTTTGTCTCCTAGTCCTTCTGATATAAATAGATGAGGTGAAAGGTGGGGGAGAGGTTTTTACAGCGTTTCAGTAAGTTTCCACAATACACCTACCAGCTTCAAAGAAAACTGGGTAACTTTCAGTGCAAATGCTTGACACACAACCTCTTGACCAAGAAAGTCCTAGTAATGGAATAAACTGAAACCGTTCTCTGGGTAGAGTGCATTAGAACACAAGATCCCTTCTGCGTGCTTCTGCCAAAGATGAATAATCTGAGTGTGGGTACTAAGTATCATTAGGGAAACAAACTGATGACTGCTGTATAAAATCACAATTTAACAATTTTCTAAAGTGTCAAAGTCCAGTAGTTTAAGAAAGGCTGAAAAACTAGTCAAGATTAAAGTTAACTAAAAGATGACAATTAAAAGCAATTTATGATTATTAAATAAAATCTGCTTTAAAAGACATTGCTAAATACCAATGGTGTAATGAAGTCGGTAGACTTGTACTCTCAGCGGTGAATTTAATGTGGTATACACATAGGTTGGTGCCCAACAATGAACACCTGAAATCGATGTTATAATTACTTATTAAGAAAGCTGAATACACATGAACACACACCCCGAAAGACAATGCTATGGAAAATGGTGAAATTTGAGGGAGACTGAGAATTAGATGGTGGTATTAAATGGATTGTTGACACAAGAAAATAGCTTACAGAACTTCAAGAAAAGAAGTTTTGAGAACAGAAACTGGGTCCTTCTGAAAGACAAGGGAGCTTTATAATTTTTAGATGCTATCTCTCAAATACGGCACAACCGACCACTCTTACATGACAGGAGAGGTAAGCAGTGAACAAGTAGCCTGAAGATCCTGGAAGATGTACTTTATTAAAGCAAAGCCTGAAAAGAAAGCTCTAACTTCTACTGTTGCTTTATTTCTTGGTGCAACAATTAGTCGCTAAAGTGGAAGGAAACAGAAGGAAGACTGCTGAAGGTACAACAGGCAAAATTCAGGTCTAGATTCAAAAGACACAGTCTGCTTTTCAGCTAGTTATTAGTTGGACCAGCAGGGGCATATGATTTGGTCACTCTGTTTGGCCTTGTCACTTACATTTCCTTCCATTTTATAAACTTTTCTCAGGGATTGCTGAGAGACTTAAATAGATGCAGTCACATGTCATAGGGCTGTGGACCAAGGCTGACATGTTGGAAGATGTCACAGCTGCGCCTACTCTCTTCCTCTCCTGGAGGCTGCATCTCATCATCTCCCTTAGAGACAAACTGCAGGGAACCAGGCTGGGGTATGAATGCAAAACCAATGCCCACCTGAACTTTGTGAAACATCTGTAGATTAATCGCTTTGACTTCTTCCAGCTGCTGGCGGAGGGCAACTAGTGTGTCCTGCTTCTCATGGGTGTCCTTTTCTAGTAACTTCATTGCAATTTCCATCTCAGTTTTCAACCCAATTTGTAGCTCCAGTTCTTTTTCTAGTTCCTAGGAAAAAAAGCAGACTGTTTTTAGAGTAGACCACAGAAATGTACATAACTGAAGCTGAATCTCAGAAAATGCCTAAAATATAAACGGGGTCAGGTTGGGTTAGGGAGGTTTAAAAAGTCTGTCTGGAACATAATTATTATTTTCTTTTTTTCTCATTTTACAATGAAAATTTGCTCAACTCAGTCAACAGGAAGCTGGTAGGTGGTAAATATGAGCCTACAGTTGTAGCAACCTTGCTCTTCAAATTTTGGGGTTTGTTCTTAAGATCAAAACACATGGGTCAATAGAATGTCTGCGCTACAAGTGATTTCCTATTGCCACATCATACTTTCTGATTTAGCTTGTTAGTTTATGTCAACAAGGATGCAATCATTTTTTTTTTAAATTTATTTATTCATATAGAACTGGGGTACAGGCCAGAGATGCGGAGGGTGAGAGGCTTCACCAGAAACAGAGTGGGGAGCAGAACAGGCAGATCATCGAAGTATATTGCTGAGGGGAGCAGCGGGCAGATCAGGAGAGGTCTGCCGCGCCATGTGGTCACCTCTGGGGCAGGCGGGAATCGAACTCATGCGGAAGTGGCTTAAGCTTCTTAGTGCTGTGCTTTGACCCGCTGCACCACCAGGGAGGGCCAGGATGCAACCATTTTTAAAGAGTGCTGACCTAGATAACTCAGTGCCATATCTGTACCAAGAAGCAAAGAAATGAAGTAGGTGTAAGAACTAATAAAAAACATGGGTCACTGATGCAATTTTGGTAGAAATGAACATACTAGGGGATGTGACCAGAGAGCTGTTTTGTTAGAACAACCAAAAGTTTGTTGTCTCAAAGAGATCCCTAAAAAATATTTATGAAACTGGAAAAAATGCATAACTCAGTGGTAACTATAGCCTTTATTTATTTAATAAGGTCAGTTTCTCACTTTGTGTGTCAACAGGTTTAAGTAAGTATGTGAAAAATGCTATTCATAGAAATAACTTAGAGGACAACTGGGGAATTCTTTCTAAAGATACTCAGGCTCACATACTCACCAAACGAATTTTCTTCTCCTCTTTTAGCTGCTTCCACACATCACTATACATTTCATCTAGGCCCTGACGGGTTTGCTTATAAGTCTCCAGCTCAACTTTTGTGTCCTGTTTTGTTATCTGTATCAAACAAGAAAACCAAGCTTATCACAAAATATAGAATTTTCTTTTAAATGTTGTATGTTCTATTTTTTAAATATTTATTTATTTATGCATACAGAACTGGGGTACAGGCCAGAGGTGCAGGGGCAGTGAGAGGATTCACTAGAGACAGTGAGGAGCAGAACAGGCAGATTGACGAAATACACTGCTGAGGGGAGCTGCGGATGAGACAGGAGAGGTCTGTTGTGCCATGTGGGTCACCTCCCTGGCTGAAGATAGAACTCATGCTGAAGCAGCTGCAGCTGGCTTCATAGTGCTGCACTTTAACCTACTGCACCACCAGGGAGTGCCCTGTCTGTTCTATTTTTAAAAAGCATAATAATAGAGAAAAAGGTTAATATAACTTTGAGCTATTTCAAAATGTCTTTTAATTTGAAGGATGACAGCAAGTCAACAGATTTTTTAAAGGCTAGCTTCACAAAACAACTTACATTTGCTCATTTAATTTTCTTTAAAACACAATGGTCCTTACTGGTAAAGTTCCACATGCAATCCACTACTCTGCATTTATTGAGTATGTTTTTAGCAGTGGGTACATTCTGAGATTAATCAGATATGACCTTTACTTTCAATTCACCAGGTGAGATAAATACAAGTCAGCATTTCTCTAAAACAGTAACTAAGTTCAGTACGGGAGGGAGACGTAAAGAGCTGTGGCATAGACAACCTGGCATGTGAATGGAACTGAAGAATGAATAGGAACTTTTTTGTTCAAAGGCCCAGATGTCAGGGAGCAATGTGCTTGGAAAATTCCAAGTGGTCTAGGGGCCTGAGGGGCATGCGAGGGCACAGGGGCGGAGGCACTTTCTGTCATCAGCCAAGGGATTTCTGCACCTTTGGAGGTTGCTATTTGCTCATGGGTTTGAGACTAGTGATCAACATGTCTGAGAGAGAAACAGGTCACCACTGTGAGGTTAATTTCTTACCTCGACACTCTTTTCACTTCTTTCACGAATTAATTCATTTTGTTCTCTTAATTGTTGCTGTTCTTCTTGAAGTGAACAAATCCGGTCTGTTGCAGCAGAAAGCTGATTAGGAAAGATTTTTATAATTTCTTAACATCAAAATTAGTCTCCCTGTTCAAATTAAAAACTAATATTTGGCATCTTCACAATTTATAATGTATTTTGCATATTAGATATTTTGATTTCTTTGTTTTGATAAGGTAATACATTACCAAGGTTCAAATTCCAAACATATAGACATGTATATTAGAAAATCTATCTCCCATCATTGTCCCTAGCTATCTCTGCCCTCCCCTTTTATAAAAATACAACTTAATGTGGGCAAAGGTCTACATACACAAAAAATTAGGAACTCTAAATGTCCAACATTATATGCATGGTTTGTTAAATTACGATGGAAGCATCAAACAGAAATATGTAGTTATTAAAGTATTTACAGGTTTTTATGATTTGAGCACATACTTATGATACCAGATTATGTAGTGTGTCTTCACTCTAATTAAAAAAATCCATTGCATTAAAATGTTTTAGATAAGGACTGTATATATACCAAAATACTGGCGAGGCAGTCAGGCAAAGGGATTATATACTTTTCTCCCGATTCTTAATTTTTGCCTGGTTTTCTACACAATATCATCATGGGAGGGAGAAAGAAAGAATCTGGGGAGCGGAATCACAACCAAATCATTAAAGACAAGCCCTAGGAAGTCACCACTGCCTCCCTGAATGAATTATTGTCGTTTAGGGAAAGTGTGGAGAGGCAGGGGGCTTTCACAAGCCTGATGAGGAGAGGCAGTCAGGAGAGGAAAGGTAGAAGGTGTGAACAGTCCTGCCAGCCAGTCCCATCTAGGCTCTTCAACAGCTTGCAGAGAGGAGGGGCTAGAGATGAAGATCGAGGCAAGAAATCTGTTCTTGGTTCTGTGTTCCTGGCATCATTCGTAAACAGGGGGCCTTGATGCACTGCATTTCTTAACTTTTCTCTATCAATAGCACCTAAATTCTCCAAGTTACTCTCCACTCGCACTTAGAACTCAGGACTTAAAATCCAAATGAGAAATTTTAGTTTTAAAGGAGATGTTTGTTCCTACAGGGAAGAAGCAGGGGAAAACCATAAGCTAATTCCCATTCTACTCTCCTTAGATATAGAAAGCATACCCTGAAGAGAAGTATACAGCAAGTCTTCACTTAATGTAGTCAGCAGGTTCTTGGAAACTGTTACTTTATGCCAAACAACATATAATGAAAGTAGGTCCTAGAATAACTTTGGTTCAATGTTTGGCAGATTTTTTTCCCTCAATGTTCTAGCAAAATGAGGTTGACCGAAATGGTATTATTCAAGGACTGCTATATGTTTCTCTAAAGCACATTTTCTAGTACAATTGTTTGCCTTTAATGAAAAATATGGTATTGCTTTATTTCAAAGGTTAAATGAGACCTTTACTAAAAGCATGCATGCTACCTTGTCTGAGAGAACAGAGTGAATGTGCTTGTTCTAAATTCCACAATTTCTCTTGAGTACCATCCATGCCAAGTGTTGTCTGAAGTACGTTTATATATTAATCTAATCTAATCTTTACAACAATATTGTAAGATCTCCAATTTGGAGATGAGAAAAACCAAGGCTCAAAGATTTACCTACCTACCTAAAGTTAGGCCCAAAGGCTCACCCACCCAAGGTGAATCTCAAGTCTCATCAGGTTCATGAGCCATCTAAGAGGCCCATCTATGAGTGCTGTTTTTGAATTTCCTTCAACTTGCACAAATCTGAGCCCCCCTCCTGATTGCTTTTCAGAATAGGCCCTGAAGAGGAAGTCACCAATTTTTAGTGAGCCTTAAGCTGGGGCCTTCCATTGCAAGGGCATACTCTTAAGACACTCCTTTCAATTATAACCTGACTTCACACCATGGGGGTCACTCTCAGTCCCCTCTAAACACCCTCTTCCTTCCCAATGAGACTTGATGGGGAAGCCTGAGCAGCCAGGGACCGCTACCTGTGGAAAGCCTCAGAAAGGCTGAGAAACCCCCCTCTTGCTAACAGGAGACAAGATGTGTCCACCAAGGAGACTGCCCGGCAGCTGGCAGCAAGCTTTCGTCCTCGGCCTCAGCCCTCCTTCTTCCTGTCCTTTCATTCTCTCTCTTCCTAGTGAGAAAGCAGAGAAAGACCACACTGTGGGGAGAATGGTATCATACTCCTGAGTTGCCCAAACACAGAAGCGGTGGGCCAGGATATGTTTACCTCATAACAGTCTGTGCTTTCCTGGCCACAGGGAGACAGACTGCATCTTAGGAGAGGTGGGAGAAGAGGAAGAGAATAGCATGGTTGCAACAGGAGATGGGCTCTTCCACTGAGAGCTTGTTATCTTTTGGATTTTTGTGATAAAACCTAAGTTTACTGAGAAATGGCTTGGGATCAGCTGCACTGGGTCATGGAAGCCCTCAGCAGGGCAAAATCCAGACATTCTGAGGATGTGCCCTGTGCAGCTCAACCTAGGTTGGCAATTCCCACTCCTACCACAAACAGCTCTGGTCAGATACACCAACTAATCCAGTTCTCTTAGCCATGGGTCCTGGTGCTTTAGGAATTCTAATGACCAGTTACAAACCTCTTCTTGAAGCTTTGAATTCGTCTTTTCCAAGCCATCTATCTTGGTTTGAAGATCCCCAACTGTGCAGCTAGCGAAAATAAAACATGAAGTACATGTGTATTTAAAAAGTGGATGATTTTCTCTACTTATATACAAAGCAAATAGCTATTCCTTGATTTCCTGTATGAAATAGAGACTCAAAGCATCTCTAATTCAGAGATAAGAATTCTAAATATATACAATGTACATTTATTAGCTGTATATGTGTGTGTGTGTGTGTGTATATATTTATTAGTCCTCTGGAGAGTTTTTTTCCCCCAACACAAAAGAGGGAAACAAAATATGTTGGCAGGCATGTATGTATCTAAAGTAGTATTAATAATGAGATAATGATATTTAGCAGGATCGAGGTGATTTTAAAATCTGCTTATTATCTTAATCCATTTTTCATATGTTGTTTAAGTGATAAGTACTACTTTCATACTAGAAAATGAGTAAACAGCTCACTTTACTAATTTGGTCTGATAAACAATAACATCTAGTAATAGTAGCAACTTCCTTTTTGTCTGATGTGCTAGTCCTGATTTAAGCCTTAAATGCTCCAATTTGTATTTTCGCCCCATAATACTCTGAGCTAAATTTAACTGTTAACCTGTTTACATGCTAGGAAACCATAACTTTACCCTGAGAAACCTGTTTAAACTCAGACCCTGCAGAGGTGCCAGCACCTGAATCTAGGTGGTCTGGCTCAAAGCCTCTAGTTTTACACAAAAGGTCCTAATACCCCAGCTGGTTTTTTTTGTTGGTGAGGGGGCCAGAGAAACAAAGCTGGCAAAGACAAGGGAGGTTGAAGAATTGGTTAGGAGGAAAATAAAAATTCAAAGACAAAAAAGAAAAAGGGGAAAAAAAGATATGTAGGGGATTAAAAGTTTTAAGAGTATATATTCAATTCTCTTAGAAAATATCAATAAAATTTGTATCTTTCTTCTTCTTTAAATGTATATTTTTCTGGGGCCTTCCCTGGCAGCATAACAGGTTAAAGTACAGCACTATAAAGCTATCCACAGCCACTGCAGCATAAGTTGGATTCCCAAGCCATGTTGGAGGTGACCCACATGGTGCGGCAGACCTCTCCTGACCCGCCTGCGGCTCCCCTCAGCAGTGAATTTCAGTTATGCTGCCTGTTCTGCTCCCTCTTCTGTCTCTGGTGAATCTTCTCAGCCCCCCTGCAAATCTAGCCTGTACTCCAGTTCTATATGCATTAATAAATAAATCTTAAAAAAAAAAAATGTATACTTTTCTGAGCCTTCCCTGGTGGCGCAGTGGGTTAAAGGGCAGCACTATGAAGCTATTACAGCCACTGCAGCACAAGAAGTTCAATCCCAGACCAGGGACGTGACCCACATGGTGTGGCAGACCTCTCCTGACCTGCCCAATGCCCCCTTAAGCAGTGAATTTCAGTAAATCTGCCTGTTCTGCTCCCCACTTCTCTGGCCTACACACCGGTTCTTTTTTTTTTTTTTTTTTTAAAGATTTATTTATTTGTGCATACAGAACTGGGGTACAGGCCAGAGGCTCAGGGGCCGTGAGAGGCCTCACCAGAGACAGAGCGGGGAACAGAACAGGCAGATCGACAAAGTACACTGCTGAGGGGAGCAGCGGGCGGGTCAGGAGAGGTCTGCCATGCCATGTGGTCACCTCCGGGGCAGGCGGGAATTGAACTCATGTGGAAGCGGCTTTAGATTCTCAGTGCTGTGCTTTAACCCGCTGCACCAACAGGGAGGGCCCACACCAGTTCTTATATACATACATAAATAAATCTTTTTTTAAAAATTATGCTTTTCTTAGAAAAATATAAAACCCATAAAACCATAAGGTGCTTACCCCCCATGTTTATTGCTGCATTATTTAAAATTGGAAAGACATGGAAACAGCCCAAATGCCCAAAAGTGGATGACTGGATTAAAAAGATGTGGTACATATACACAATGGAATATTACACATCAACCAAAAAAAAAAAAAAAAAGAAACACATGCAGCAACATGGATGGAGCTGGAAAAGATCATGTTTAGTGAAATAAGCCAGAAAGAAAAGGAAAAATACCAAATGGTTTCTTTCTCTCATAGCAGGAATATAACAGGCCAGGTGAGAAAATAAAAATAAAGATAAAAATAAAAACAATAATAATAATAAATAATGATGTACAGCTATATACCAGAGACAATTTATGGTGTAGAGTGGGGAATGGGATCAAAAATAGTGGGGGAGGGAAATGCACCGGACTATGGTGATGCCACATGGGTGATCTGGTGATGGGCGGCCTACAGGGATTACAACTGAGATGGAAAAATGCACAAAATGATGTAAAAATAAACTATTAGAATATTTAAAAAAAAATATTTGCTAGGCTACAATTTACATCTCCAGAACTTATTCATTTTATGTAAGAAGACATTTTTATCTTTGACTACTACCACCCATTATTTTAAAAAATATTCAACTGTACAGATACTAAAGTGTATTCAAATAAATTATTTGTACTAGTATAAAAAAATTATAAGGCACTTAGAAGTAACAACTAAAGAAAAACGGAAAGGCTGGCAAAGGATTGCCTCAAGAGATTTGAACTTCAAATTTTCAAGGAGAAATAATCCTCATGAGATGCCCAGACACAAGGCAAAGCTTCCTAATTCATTTTGTGAGGCTGTGAAACCGTGATACTAAGCCAGCAGCAAAAACAAAACAGAAAAAGGGAACAATTAAGGTCAGGTTACATGCTAAGAGAAAAATCAGATTTAAGCTATATTGAGCATAGTTTCTCCTGTGATTTAGAAATAAATAGTTCAGTGTGAAGAAATGAAACACATCATATCAACAGATTAAGGGAGAAACATTAGGATCACCTTAATGGCTGCTAAAAGGCATCCGATAAAATTCAACATCTATTTCTTATAAAAACTTTCCATACATAAGGAATTGATCAAGAATCTCTCTTTCAAAATAACAGCCAACACTGCAGCTGATGAACGCTCATAGTAGCATTCTCTCGAGCACATTCTAAGAATGTGTTTGATTATCTTTGGTGCCTGAGACTGCTCCTGAGGGTTCAGGGAGAGACATTAACTAGCCTCCCAGACATTCGGCTGGGACTTTGCCTCCTTCCTACTAGTATCTCCAAAGATTAATAATGTTTCATAAAACACGCATTAGCTTTCCAATTAATATGAAAATTCAAGATAAAGATGCCTTTATCAGCACTGAATTGTTCTGGAAGGTCTAGTCCACCCTTCTCTTCTGCCCCGACATATCAGAGGGGTCTGTGCTGACTGCCAGCAGCAACAGTACTTACCATGGAGTGATTGCTGACTATGTGCCTGTGGCTGAAAAGCAGTTAAGGTTTAATTTACTTACTCTCCCTAAATTGCATGACTGTCAAAACCCCAAATAATTTCCAAAAACTCTAAATAAAGGAAACATACTTCTCTCTCTGTATACACAAGCAGTAGAGCAGTTTTTTCTTGGCTTAGAAGAAAAGTCAGAAATATATGGCAACTTAAAGAAGTTCCAGTAAAAAAATTACAGGATCCTTAGTAGGTCATTGATATGCTAGAAAATGGAGAGTGTCCTACCTTAAGTGGCGATTAAGTTCTTCCACATAATTTTTTTGATCAAGAACATCAGTGATTCTTTCGTGCCTTTAAAAAAGAGTGTGAGAAATTCTTTTTACTTGGTTCACGCTTTGCAACTGTTCCCAACATTCCAATCGCCTTACAGAATTACCAGTGTCTTTAGGAAACCCAGAGCAGCCAGAGTTTAATGAAGTCTGCACTGCCTTGGAGTGAAAAGCGCAAGGGCACTGGGAAGAGGAAAGCCGTGGGCATGCGAGATGGAAATGCCAACAGCCGCATGCAAATAGACCTTGAGGTGACAGAAGAAGCAACCCCTCATTATAGTAAAGAGGACCACAAGGCTTTCCAATACAAAACACATCCTGGTTTAAAAACAGATTGTAATATTTCAATGTTAGGCTTCTCCCCTTATGTCCCATTTCTTTACATACACATATACATATGTGTAAGAGTGGGATCGTTCTGCACAGGTTCTTGCCACAGGTATTGGCTTTACTTTTTTTGTTTTACCTATTCTGCCTTTTATGTACATCTCCCAGGAAACCCAGATTACTAGCCTGTTAAGCATCCTTTGTGCATAATCATAATCTCTGTTTTCTATATATGTACATATACATATAACACATAATTAAAATAGACAATAAATATTAGAGACAATGACATACATACATAATATTCCTGTATAACATTTTCACTTAATAACCTTAATAACCTTGTGGAAATCTCTTTAAGCCTACTATACCAAAAGGTCAAATCTGTTCTTTTATTTATGTCTTCATAATATACCACCATAGTATGGATTGCTGTGGGTGTTCCAAAATTCATTCAATTATCCACTCAGTAGTGGATAATTAGCTTCCGGTTAACCTTTTATTTCATTTTTTTCTTCCTTAAAACATTATACCTGTTTTTATTTATTTCTACTTATTCTTTTTTGACATTAAATTTCTGTTCAAGTCCTTGACATTAAAATTCTGTTTAAGTTTCAAGAGGACAAATCCTTGTGCTCAGGATGCATGAAGCATTAATGGCATTCATGCTCATCCCTTCCTCGGTAAGGAGCACCAAGACCAGGGACCCTCTCTGGGAAGAGGCCTGAAAGCAAGTAACAGATGCAGGAGGTAAAATACTGAAATATAAGCCTGGGCTTATGGTAACACTCCCTCCCACCCATGCTGGTCTCCCATCTTATCCCTATGGGAATCCCACTATCAGGTCTGAACGCAGCTCTAGAAATGGTCCGCGAATATAGAAATACAATATATACACATGAATGTGTACTCTTTTAAAATATATTCTTTTAATAGAGCGGCAGCATGCTATACACATTTGTTTCTCTTTTTTCCCCCCTAGGTAAAATTTCATTTTCAAAGAATGCTCATATTAATGACACCGAGGAAGAATTATACGTGGCTTCAAAGGCACTGGAGAGGTACCAGCTGGGGCCAAAGGCAGCTTGTGCTGTACCATCCTTCCCATTTACGCTCATACTGATTGTGAACAAAATGTACTACAAACACATACCTGCAAAGCACTGGAAAAAGGCTGGCTAGGCAGGAGGAGGAGCAGCTTCGAGGGGGGAACGGGAGTGGGAGGGGGACTGAGAAGGAAGGGGGCAGTGCGAATATAGAAATTTCACTTATACTCTCCATTTTGCTGCATTTAAATGAGGAATATATTAATGTATCACACCTCTGTAATTAAACACAATGAAACTAAACATTCAGAAAGCAAAACCCAAAAGTATTACTATTTGTTGGAATTTATTAAAAATATAATAGCATAAAATGCAGTACTTACTCTTTGCCACCATCAAGATCCTGAACATCTTTAAGGTAGAGAGAAAAATCGATCACTCCAACCTGATGGAAATGAAGTATACAAGTTTAAATAAAAAGTAACTATTGTTTTATAAACCTTACAATTTAAAAATTCAGGGTATTCATATTCCTATCTCTCCTACAAACATTTAGTTGGACTAAACAGCTCTAAGAGCATTAAATAGAAAACACACCAAGGGGAAACTAACCCTACCACTTTCTAAACAAATACTAAAAATCAGAATTTACAGGGATATTTTGAAATTTTATCATTTACTTATGATTAATTTTGTAATCTATTCAATAGCTAAATTGTTGATAAAGCTGTACCCAAATTTGGGTACAAAGTAACAATCCCTGGTGGCACAGGGATTAAAGTCTCAGCACTATCAAGCTGTCTGCAGCCACTGCAGCATGTATTTGATCCCCAGCCAGGGAGCTGACCCACAGGGCACAGCAGACCTGTCCTGTCTCGCCCGCTGCTCCCCTGGGCAGTGTATTTCAGTACAGCTGCCTGTTCTGCTCCCCACTCTGTCCCTGGTGAATCCTCTCACTCCCACCCCCACCTCTGGCCTACACCCCAGTTCTTGTATGCATAAATAAATTAAAAGCAACAACAGAGAAAGTAAGAAGATGACATCATCAAGATGAGAAGAGGCTCCTTGTTTTGAAACTGCAGGCTGGGAAGGCAAAATGTCACAACTGATGTGTTCTTTCACATAAACTTACAACTACAATTGCAGGTTATAACAGGCATAAACAAAAACAGGGTTTGCTTACAAAGCAGGGCGGAGGGTGGGGGGGAAGAAAGAGAGTGAGAGAAGCTAGGAGAGAGGAAAGAGAGGCAGGCCAGAGGAAACAGCAATGGTTAGGTGGTTTGAAGCAGAGATTCAATGTGAAGGTCTTGAAGGTCTCTGTGAAGGTCCTCCAGAGATGGCATCACAGCAATTAGCAATGGCAATCAGAAGGCAGGGCTGGCAGCACTGGATAGCCTGACTCTACAGCAAGGCAGGCAACATCATCAGGGTTGGTGTCAGATGGGTCAGCGGCAGGGACCACTGCTCTACAGAGATGTTGGGCATAAGCCTAACAGCAAACAGCTCTTTTAGAGACTCCTAGCACAGGGCTACTGGTACTACTCAGCAGGTGACTGATGATGGAGGCAGAGTCAGAGAGCCCATGAAGGAGCAATGCCAGAGCGCAACAAAGGTCTTTCCAGCAAAAAAGACGAATCTGCCTGTACAACCTGAAGGTGAAGGGAGCCTGACTTACATAGTCTTCAAGGTGCCCACCTTTCAAACCTGAGGGGCCCATTTTACTTGAATGGCACCCTTGGGAGTTCCAATTAGACTGGTCTGTTTATAATCCCAGCTGTTTGATGCTGGTTGAACTGTACCAGTGTGTCCAACTGACCTATACTGAGGTTGGGCTTCAAAAGTGAACATCAGGCCCTCCCTGGTGGTGCAGCAGGTTAAAGCGCAGCACTAAGAAGCTTAAGTCACTTCCGCAAGAGTTCCATCCCCGCCCTGCGCCAGGGGAGATCCACATGGTGCGGCAGACCTCTCCTGACCCGCCTTCTGCTCCTCTCAGCAGTGTACTTCGTAGATCTGCCTGTTCTGCTCCCCACTCTGTCCCTGGTGAATCCTCTCACCCTCTGCATCTCTGGCCTGTACCCCAGTTCTGTATGAATAAATAAATAAATCTTAAAAAAAAAAAAAGTGAACATCAAGAGCCGCTTCTCCACAGGGCAAATTCAAACCTGATTGGTGCCCACATGAACTCCAATCGGAGTTGGATCTATTATCAACCCCATGTTGGTCTCCTGGTGTCTGTTGACAATCTCCCCACTTGCCATTCTTGTCACCATTTCTACTGTGACAAGCCCTCATTTTCACTTTTATATGCAACATCTAGTATCAGTCCATGCGTGGAGATTGCCCAACCTCCCTAGAAGGGCACTGGCCTTTGGGAAGGGATTCTCCACTGGTGGGTTCATTAAGTGGCAGTCCTCCTCTTCCTGAGCCTCCCTATTGCCATGATCAGCTTCATGTCCAAGAGGAGCATTAACAGCTAACAGGGCACTACTGTGCCCTGGGGCGAGAATGAAGCACTCCTCCACATTAGAGACCAACACAGACTGCACCAGAGAGGAGCGAGGAGAGCATGTTTCACTGGACAGGAGATGAGTGGAGAGAAATGCTTGGAGGCTATGCTTCAGGCTGGGGGGCACAAGACAGACGGTGGTGCTGCCAGCACCTCCATGAGGTCTCGGGAGGGGAGAGCAGAGATGGTGTGATGGCATGTACCCTTAATTCAGGTGGGTTCATATGGAACGGCTTGATGACCCACACAGACTAGATGATCCATAAGAAAAAAATAAAGAAGGTGCTCTAGACTATACTCCTCTGCTCCCACCCTCGGGATGAGGACTGACTTTGGGAAGTGCACTGACAGTGGACAGACTGTAGAGTCTCAGATCTGGGACTCCAGAGAGCAAGGACATCAGAGGTGACACAAACATGAGCCAGAGCTCCTCACTCCCAGCATGTTCGCCAGAGTGGCTGGATCCCTGCAAACCCCTCTTCTACCTGCTGACACGGCAACCACGAACACAGACCTCTAGCTACGGAAGCAAGCATAGACCAAAAAAATCAAATGAAATTCAAGAAAGCCATAGTAGCACATATCAGACGAGTAAAGGCAGTTTAATAGCTTTCTTACTGATCCAGATAATAAACACACACACACAGGAAATTTAAAGCTGGAAAACAGGAGGACACGAAGTGGCACCCGAAGGAGCAGTCAGACTTCTCTGGAACCTGCAATGATGAACCTTGTCTTCTGGTACCATGCCATCGCAGGCCTGACTTCTGACACCACCTCTGACATCTCTGCTGAATGATCCCATTAGCCCTGTGACAGGTGTCCCTGATGGAGCTGGTTGTTGTTGGCTGTATGCCCAGCATCTAAGAGCACTGGTCCCTGCCTCTGACATGTCTATACCACCCTCTGGGGCTGTTGCTTTTGGTGCTAACTGGCCTAGTGCAGCCTTCATATGGCTGCTGTTGACTTGGATTGCTCTGCTGAGGCCTATAAGACCTTTGTGACCTGAGATTGTGACCTTCAAACCACTGCTACAGCTTCTAGCCCCACCTCTAATATGTTCCTCTCTCCCAACTTCTCTGTCTCTACTTTGTAAACTAACCCTGTTGTTAAGCATCTAAGCTACTGCAATAGCAGGCAGATAGGTGAGAACCCACCAACTGTGTCATTCTGGCTCCCCTAGGCCTTGGACGGTAACAAATGGAATGAACTCAACAAAAGACACAAATTGGCCAGGTGGGTTAAAAAGTAAAACCCAATTAAATGGTGTTGACATGATGCACTTTCGTTGTAAATGTCAGAGGAGCCCCACCCTTCTCGCACCCCCCACAGCTCTTGGTATTCAGTTTTGAAGCTGTCTCTGTACTGGTCAGGTGGATGTGTGGTACAGTTTCTATTTGAAACCATGGAAATGAATATGGACCGATATGACTGGTGCGCCATGGGCACCAATAAAGTTCGAGCTTGCACCAGTGTCAACCAAGTAAGACAGACCAACGAGGCTGGAATGATGGTTACCCTGAAGGGGCTATAAGGCAGGTTTTAGCCAGCTTCAAGACAAAGACTTGTCTGGATTCTCTCCTGGAAAGACTTGCAGACCTGACCTACCTTGACTCTGCCTCTGATACTAACTGCTAAATGACACCATCTGCCTGTACCCAAAAGAGTTATTTGATATTGGCTTATGCCCAGCATCTCTAAGAACTGTAATTCTGTCCCTGCTCTCTGGCATTACTACTGGCTGACCAGAGCTGACTGGCACTGCTACCCTATGACTAGCATTGCTCCTTTCTGCCAGCACAGCCATGGGGTCTGCAGGGGGGCAGGGAGAACAGAAATGATGTGAAGGCACACACCCTTAATTCATAAGACACTCTAAGAGCTTTGCCATTGTTACTTATCATAACCTTCAAGACTTTTGCTAATTTTCAAGGTCTTTACATGTGATTTGTGCTTCGAACTGCTGCCTAAGCACTGATACTCCCTCTGGCCCTGCCTCTAACTCTTTCCTTTCTCCCAACTTCTTCACCTCTCTTAACCTTTTGTAAATAAACCCTATTGTTGCTGTACCCTGGGCTTGTGTTGTGTTCTGTAGTTGCAGTTACGTACGCACTCGTGAGGACCTACCAATTGTGACATTTGACCTTTTCCCACCCAGTTCTGCACAGTTTCATAAAGACACAGATTTGAAATGAAGGCAGTGGTACTCTAAACCAACGGAAAAATTTAAAACGCAGGAGTAACTATTCTTTATTAGATAAAACAGATTTTCAGTCAAATAAGATAACAAGACACAAAGACAAACATTACATAATGATAAAGGGATTAATAAAACAGGATGATACAATTATGAACACATATACACCTAATAGAGTAGTATCGGAATATACAGAGCAAATAATAACAGATCTAAAGAGACAGTGTAGCAACACATTAATAGTAGGGGACTTAACAATAATGGACAGATCATCCAGGCAGAAAATCACCAAGGAAACAATGGTCTCAAATGACAGACTGAATAGACTTAATTTAAAGATCATTCCATCCCCAAACAAGATACACATTTCTTCTCAAGTATTCATGGAACATTCTAAGGACAGACTATACGGTGGAACACAAAAGTCAATAAACTTATGATGGCTAAAATCATATCAAACATCTTTTAAAATCATACTGTTTTACAGTGGGGGGAGGGAAATGCACTGGACTATCGTGATGGCACATGGGTGATTGGTGATGGGAAGCCCACGGGGATTACAACTGAGATGGAAAAATGCACAAAATGATGTAAAAATAAACTATCATATTATTTTTAAAAATTACACTGTTTTAAAACTAGAAATCAATAAAAGAAGAAGGGAAAACCACACATTTGTAGAGACTAAACAATATGCTACCAAAGAACTATTGGGTCAATGAAGAAACCAAAGATAAAATAA